TTAAGACATGAAATGCTGAAATGTTGTGCTTACCTTACTTTTTTACTTGATCAAAAACACTTACTTAAACCCATTTCTAAGAATTCACATGCCTTTTTATTCAATTATGCATTAACTAGTGTTTTTTTTTGAGACAATTATTCTAAATACTTGGTATTTGATGACCATTCTTGTGTGACATGTCAAAGTTCAGGACTACTGAATTTAATAAAATATATATTTAGCTGAATGTTTTTTTTTACTGCGACATAACAAAGTTAAAACCTTCCTGATGAAAAACTATTGGCTGTATAGTGACATAAAACAATATAGCAAATTAAAGAGAAATGAATACAGAATGCATGCAAAGTTTTTAACTCTTTCAGTCCGAGGAGATTGGCATCAGAGGCCCAAGGGTAGTAAAGAGAGACGTAAAACTGGTGCATCTTGCGTTAACTGGGCTTCTAGGTAGGAACTTTGCAAAGTTTTTAACTCTTTCAGTCCGAGGAGATTGGCATCAGAGGCCCAAGGGTAGTAAAGAGAGATGTAAAACTGGTGCATCTTGCGTTAACTGGGCTTCTAGGTAGGAACTTATAAATGTATGATGTGTTTCTTGGGACTTGAAGAGTTACGAATCAGCATTGCAACAAAAGCATTAAAATTACACCACATTAGAGGATGTTGGACACACAAGAAGATTTTTTTATACATGCAATGTTGTGCAGTCAGAATAGATGGAGAGACATCAGACTGGTTTGGCATCAAGCAAGGAGTCTGTCAGGGATGTGTGCTGTCACCGTATTTGTTCAACCTGTACGCCGAAAATATAATGAGAAATGTAAGAGATGATATAAACAAGGAACAATATGATGCCCTAAACATCGGTGGGCATGAAATACCAGAAATTCGTTATGCTGATGATACAGTATTACTATCAACATCACAAAATGGTTTAGAAAACTTATTAACCTCACTCCAAAGAAATAATGAAAATCATAACTTATTTCTTAACATAGCAAAAACAAAGATAATGCATACAAACAAAACTGCCATGGAGAAGGAAATATATGTTAATGAGGAAAGATTGGAAGTGGTGGAAAATTTCGAATATCTTGGGTCACTGGTTACCAACAATGGTGACACAATGAAAGAAATTAAACGGCGACTATCAATTGCTCTTCAAAGACTAAAACAACTGAATAAATTATGGAATTGTACAGATAGAATTACAAAGGTAAGATTTTTAAGAGCATGCATCTTTCCCATTGCAACATACGCCTGTGAGACCTGGACACTTACTAAACAAGCGGAACAGCGCATAAATGCATTTGAATATAAATGTTACAGACAGGTTCTAAGAATATCTTGGGTAAAGAAAAGAACAAATGCATCCATACTTCAAGAGCTGAATATTGAAGAGGGTTGGCTAGTAAAGACAATAAAACAAAGAAAATTGAAATATTTTGGTCACTTGAAACGTCATGGAAGTCTAGAGAGAACAATAATGGAGGGGTATATGCCTGGGAAGAGAGGAAGAGGAAGGCCAAGGAGAAGATGGGTGCAGGATGTGGCAGATGATCTCCAGATGGGTGTATCAGACGCAGGACATCTTGCTCAGGATAGGAAGGTTTTCCGGAGGGTTGTTATGGCAGCGAGGTTCCGCGAGGGACATGCTACTGAATGAATGAATGAATGAATGTTGTGCTCACCTTGCTTCTATCTAGTTCTCAGGAATCACATGCCTTCTCTATTAAGTTATGCATCAGTCAGTTTTTATTTTAGACAGCTATTCTAAATACTTTCGATTTTATTACCATTTTTGTGTGACATGTCAAATTTAGAACAACCACTCAGGCATCTGCTGAGAGGCAAGAAACCAGCAGTCTGCGTACAAGTGAGTCAAATCTGTAAAACAGATGCACACGTAACACTCAGATTCTGGAACAGGACTGCAGTCCAAGAGTGGATGAACAACCAGAACTACTGCCAAAGTTTACAGCTGGCGAACACAAAGAAGAAGAAGAACAACTAAATACAAAATGTATTTACATGATATATGAGAGAAATTCCAGTGACAACTTAAGAATTTTATCTATCTGACAATGATGATGATGTTAATCCTGAATAGAAACATCTTACTAGATGTGATATGCCCTGAAACATCCATTGGGCACAGGTGAGGCTTGTCGGCGAATCCAACGCATTTATAACTGCCACATTTTCAAATCTTTTCCTTGTTGCACTGAACGCACTGCCTGTTTGGACCACCATAATCAACTAAATGTGCTGCCCCAACAAGACTGTCAGACAAGGCTGGCTTTTTGCCTGGTCTTCAAGCCACAGCAGTCACCATGTTTGCTAGAACTTCATGACCTGAGAAGGCAGCTTTTTGCTGGATGAGCTCGTCTTTGAACTATGCAAGACTCATCTGTTTGGGTACAGCAGGATAGGATAACACATACATGATGTCAGTGAGCATCGACATGCGTCACTTTTATGATCCACATGAAAACCTTTTCCCACCAATTCTCAGTTTTGCAAGTGTGGTTACTGTAATAGGAAACCATTTGAAATACTTTTACAACATGAGATGCTGTTGGATCAAGGTCAGGATTGTAGGCAGTATTTGCTCCAAATAAATTAGCAGATTATAAACATAACCAGTGATTGAATCACAAAGACCATATGTCCTTATATGATGATTGTGAGGCTTGGTTGCATTGTACTGTTATGGATGAAATCTGCCCTTGAAGCCTCATCTCCACAGAAAGCTTTTCATACGGCTAAAATGCTGACCGAAACTGTTCTACCAGATGTTTCATAAAAGGCTCAATCTTTGCTTGGCCTTGTGCTCTGGGTTCTGATGCATGCAGAATTGACTGGTAAACAAGCAAGAACTTAGTTCTTGGAAACATTACCTTGAACCATGGTGTGAATGTGTGGTGCACTGTAGACCAGTAATCTTTGATGTTGTGGTTCGGTGTAATTCCCATTACTATCATTGAGAAATTTTAAAAAATCCTCTTGTCATTGGCTGCCAATCAGACAATGTAGAATTGTTTTCTCAATGATGTATTTTTCTTTATTTATTCATAAAGACTGAAGTTTTCAACAAGACTATCAATGATATCAGTTGTTAGCAGTGTTAATAAGCAGTCCGGTGGTGTTGAATTTTCATTCAATGGTGCCCAAATTCCAGACACAGCTGATCAAAACAGGGACGATCTAATCGAAACATTTTCTTCAGCTTCATTCCAACCCATATAGTCAGCAATAGATACTGCACGTGCATTATTATTATTCATAATGTCAACACTATTGCTGTCACTATCTGGCTCAGATTCATCAATGACAGCAACAGTATAGGCAGTTCTGTTGTTCTGGTTTCCCTTACCATTTAGTCTGTTATGTTTTGCAGCAGATGGTTGACATTCATGATCGTCATCATCTACATCATTGTCAGATAATTTGGAATCTAAGTCATCATCACTACTAGAATTGCCTTCATCATCTAACATCCGCTGCATAGGATCCAAAACCAGAGTTTTTGTCATTTTTTGAGCTCTATCTACAGTTAATGTTGAGGGGTTGAAAGCAGCCTTTTCAGGAAAATCACAACAAAAAAAGTATTGCAATGAAAACATTTAAAACAAATCAGCAAGGTATCCAACCACCATGCTAAACTTAGACATTAAAAAGACTTTGTTTTGCTAATTTTAGTTTTTTAAAACATGGTCATACAAATTGATTTTCCCAGCAAATGAAACAATATTAGAGTGTCTCGATGATGAGCTATTCAAATGGCGTTCCATCCAAACGCGATGGATTCAATAGCCACTAAAGTGGTGATCCGTCTTTAAAGAGTTAGGAAGAAATTATGAATAAATAATTTGGATTAGGTGTATTGAGTGACTTTCTACCCCACCAGGACATCACACAAGTGATAAACACCCGATCACATGAAGTGCCACCATGTGGATGAAGATCACTGTGGAGAGGTCCCAGAAGCCGCGTTTAGCCATTAGGCCATATTTATGAGTGGGGCTTCAAAATAATGAAAAATTGCATTCTCACAAGGAGATGACTATAGTATTGTATTAGGTGTATTATCTATCTATCTTCTATTATGTGGATGAGGATCACTGTGGAGAGGTCCCAGAAACCGCGTTCAGCCTTTAGGCCATATTTATGGTTGGGCTATATTGCGGCCCTTGGCAAGAGCCAGAGTATGGCTTCAAATAATGAAAAATTGCATCCCACAAAAGGATAAGCGTTAATTATACCAGATAATATATGTTAAGAATAAGATTAAAAGAGTTGAGCATATTTAGTTTATAAACGTTAGTTTTTAAATTATTTTGAGAACTGTATTGAGTTATTCATTTATGGGTATGGTTAAATTAATCTGAATTATTAGTATTCAAAATTATGATTCCCACCTTTGTCTCCCAAGACTATTCTGAGCACTCATTTTGTATTTGGTGACCTAAGAACCAGGGAGATAATAAAAAATCTGGCTCTATGTTGATTCCACGCAAGAATTTTGAGCCGGTAGACAAACATCTGCCATGGCTGGGCTGCAGACCCACAGTCTTCTTAGAACCTCTGTATCTAATAGTTATCGTCTCCATGAAATCCTCAGAACTCCTTTGGCAACCAAAAAAAGAATAATCCAGATGTTTTGGAAAAGGTGAGGGCTCGAAGATGACTTATCACAATTATCAGAAAGAGACAGTCATTATTTGTTATATATGAGAAGAAGGAAACTGAAAAGATCTGTGGAAATAAAGACAGACAGTGTGAGCAGATTCCTGACAGCCTTATGTCGTGGCATAGAGGAGTGATACATGTTTTGAAAGCTGTCAATTGTGAAGAGGCAGGATTCAGTCGGCAAGGAACTTGATGATGAAGTCACCATGAAATATGACATATCCGCTGTATCTCCATATCTCCAGAGATTCTGTTAAACTTCCATATGTCTGTTTAACTCTATTGATCTATGCAGATACATTGTCAGTGAGATGTCTTGCCAGCAAAAAGATAACCAACACTGCTCAGACATCCACCATCAGTCCCAGGTAAACAGCTGTGAGAATGGGGTCAGCTATGGGCCAGGTGACAAGCTGTATCTCAAAACTCCAACTATATTCAGTTTTCCTATGTCCAGAAGTTCAGGATTCCAAGTCTACTTGAAGCTGGAGAACCTGCAGCCTCCAGGGTCATTCAAACTCCGAGGCATTTCGCACATGATACAGAAGGTATGGGGAATATGTTGTGTGTGTTAATGATACTATGTTTTCATTCATTACATTTCTGGGTCATATGTATATACATTAACTGTTTCAGTCCCAAACAACGTATGATATGTAGTCAGCTCTTCTGTGAATCCTACCTTACATTGGATAGGTTCTCGTTATATATTTCATCAGAACATGCTAAAGAAGCTTGACTTCCTCAGTATTTAGCTTCTTTGAATGTAAGGCACACATGGATTATCCTAGCAATAATATACACTTATGCACATCTCATGTAAAACATTTTGGAACTCTAAGAGTTAAGAACCCTTCCAGTTCTTAGTGGAGGCAAATATCTATTTTACAAAACATTGTTAGGCATTTGGTTTGCCCAACATTGGTCCTTGCCCGTCACAAATTTTTCTGGCTAGTATAAATTTTCTATGCTCACACATGTGTCAGAACTTCAACTGGCCAGACAGACATGTGTTCTCTCGAAGATACTTCAGTTTAGGTTTTTTTTTCTATTCTATTCTTGTTTGTAATTGTAACATTATTGAATGTTGAATTAAGAATCAACATCATAGCACTCGGACACTCCTAAAAGCACTCCATCCACATCTTCAGCAGCTAGCAAAGTTTCAATTTTACCAGTAACTGTCTGATTGTATGTCTGTCTCACCTTTCCCTTGAGTGTTAAGCATTGGCCAGATCCCCTGGCAGTGCCAGCTAGAGATGGATGGTTAGATTCGAGAATGTGTATACAGATTTGTGAATGGGGTGTTAAGTGTGGGTATGGCAAAGAGGCATGAATGAGTGGAATAGTACAAATGTGCATTTTCAGATGCTAAGAACATGAGTTGAATAGAATGCTGTTTCTTTGACGTCTGAAGCTCTCATTCTGAAAGATGTAAACATGAGTTGAGTGAAATGCTGTTTTTTAATGTCTAAAGCTTTCATTATGAAAGAAGTAATCATGGATTGAGTAGAATGCTGTTTCTGTGATGTCTAAAGCATCGGCCTGCCAGGGAGCAGAGGTTGCACAGGTAGAGAAATGGAGGCAGACTAGAAAGAATTGTACTGCTAATCCCACACTCACTGGGGCTTCCATAAGTTGCTCAAGAACTTTCTTGGCTCATATTGGACTAAACAGCCACCGTCATACTCATTATCACATATCATTACTAGTTTGGATGAAAGTGGTCTTCATAACACGTGATGGATGAAAAACAAACAACAAAGCTTTCATTGTGAAAGATGTAAATACAAGATGAGTAGAATGCTGTTTCTATGATGTCTAGCTCCCACTGTGAAAGATGTAAATCCGAGTTGAGTAGAAGTCTGTTTCTAAGATGTCTGGAGAATTCATTATGATAGATGTAGTGAAAAACGTGAGTAGAATGGTGTATCTAAGAAAGACTGGAGAATTCATTAACAAAGATGTAATGAGCTGAGTAGAATGCTGTATCAAGATGTCTGGAGAATTCATTAAGAAAGATATAATGAAAATATGAGTTAAGTAGAATGCTGTATCAAGATGTCTGGAGAATTCATTAAGAAAGATATAATGAAAATATGAGAAGTAGAATGCTGTATCAAGATGTCTGGAGAATTCATTAAGAAAGATATAATGAAAATATGAGTTAAGTAGAATGCTGTATCAAGATGTCTGGAGAATTCATTAAGAAAGATATAATGAAAATATGAGTTAAGTAGAATGCTGTTTCTAATGTGTCTAAAGCTTTTATTACAAAAGATATAAATTAGCGTAGAATGATTTTGTTTTCTCTAACTGCAGGCAACACAACAAGGAACATGTGAGCATGTCTACTGTGCTTCTGGAGGTAACGCAGGACTGGCAGCGGCCTTTGCTTCCCACCAACTCAACATTCCTTGTACAATCATCTTACCCAGTTCCACCCCACGTTTCATTGCTGATCAACTGAGGAATCTGGTAAGACTGGTAGTCATATATTGTGTTCAGGTGGAACACAATTTTGTGCTATAAGATTCATGAGTATTTGATGTGCGTCTGATGTGCATCTGATGTGTGTCTGCTATATCTGGTAAGGCTGACAGTCACATATTTTCTTCATGCGGAGCACACTGATTGACATACCTGTCCCAAACTATTCTATTCTCATTTTTGTTGTCTTTTTTTTTTAAATAAGAGTCATCTTGTTTTGTTTTAAAGTGCAGCAAATTTGAGTTAGTGAATGTGTTTAACAATTTCATTATCCTTCAATATTAAGATTCAAATTCCATGTTAGGCAGTTCATTAAAAAAGAAACCATTTTCATTGCTTTCAGATAGTAGTATGAGAGTTACACCATGGAAGAGATTGAGGCCTCATTACATAACATTCCTAAAGACATCAGTAGGTACTCTGTAAGCAACCCTTATTTTGGAGATAGAACAGACATGTTTCTCCATAGATCATCTCCCTGGTGCAAACATGCAACAACTAACAACAAAAGGGCACTTTTCAATAAAGTATTTATTTTTTAACCAACAGCATGTTGTGCGTGCCAAACAAGGACAATAACAACAAAAGAAAAATTTAAACAACAGAAATGATATGTCTACAAGTCCTCATGTAGGTTTCGGGATCACAATTTGGGAAACACAAGAATAGACTCACTGCCTACTCAAGAAAGTTGACTAATTGGTATCTTCCTTCAAAGTCAGAGTACATCTGCCTGGGAGGCAAGAAACCAATAGTCTGCATGCAAATGAGTAGATCTGTGAAACAAATGTGCATGCAACACTTATTTTCTGGATCAGGACTAGAGACCAGAAGCGGATGAACAACCAGAAATTTCCACCGGAGTTTACAGCCACTGAACGCGAAGAAGAAGAACAAATGTCTATGACAATTCCTCAATGTAACTAGATGAGACAGGGTCAGAAATGACGATAGCAGTAAAGACGTTCAGATGGAATCAGTAGTCACCTTCATTAAAAGACAACAGGTAAAATGATTTGGTCATGTGTCGAGACTAGAACCAGATAGTGCACAAGAGAGAGCTCTGTCACTTAGTCATAATGGAAGCATAGCTAAAGGTTGACCGTGCATCAACACTGAAGGTTATGTACTGAAGGTTATGGGTTTCCAGACTCTGCAATTGAATTTAAATGTGAAAATATTTTGAAGCCCCCTGGGAATTATTGCTGGATTTGATGTTGCATTTGTAGACCAAGCAAAAGCTTTCCATTGAGTTAATGTCAATAAATTATGGAAGGTATTACAGGATTACGGAGTTAACGAACATCTTATTAAATTGTGCAAGAGTTTATACGCCAACAGTCAATGTGCGGATAGAACAAACACATGAATGTCAGGAAAATTCTATAGATCTGGAGTCAGACAGGGGTGCGATCTGTCACCACTACTGTTCATCACATACATCGACCAAATTTGCAAATCAGCTAAAATCAGGGAAGGGGACAGCATTAGAGAATTACTAAATGAATTGCTTTTCACTGATGACCAGGCAATCATAACGCCAACAGCAATACGACCACAAGAACATATTCAGTGACTCCGCTCTGAATGCGACAACTATGATATGAAGATCAACGCATACAAAACAGAAGTGATGACATTCTCCAGAAAAGGAAGAACCACCAATATTAAACTGATGAGCAGGCAAAGGATTTTACATATCTGGGAAACATTTTTTTCAGAAGACAGAAAAATTAGTAGAGAAATCCAGCAAAGATGCAACAAAGCTAATCAAGTTTTCGGCCAAATAACAGCAATTTTTAAATGCAAGCATGTGAATATGAACACTAAAAGAACACTGTTCAACAAGATATTTTTACCAACACCATGCACTGAATGTCAAACATGGTTACTGTCTTCAGAAGACAGAAGGAAAATATGTACTTTGCTAGGTGTAACGAGGACAGATCGACTTAGGAACGATGATATCAGGAGGAGAATCGGCACTGAACCAATAATGAACTTTATAGGTAGACAACAAATCAAATGGTTTGGTCATGTTACAAGGATGGCAGCAGACAGGGTCCCACAGAGAGCGATATTATACAGATACAACGGTAACAGAGCCAGAGGTTGACCACGCAGAAAATGGGCTGCAGAGATATGAAAGTACTTTAAGTGAAGCAAACAAAAGGGCCCGTTCCAGAGATCTCTTCTTACCCTGATGTCGCAAGGCATTCCAGGAGTAGAGAAAAGAAAAAGAAGTGATGTGATGCCACTGTGTGATGTCACTGTGTGATGTTACTGTGTGATGCCACTGTGTGATGTTACTGTGTGATGCCACTGTGTGATGTTACTGTGTGATGCCACTGTGTGATGTCACTGTGTGATGCCACTGTGTGATGTCACTGTGTGATGTTACTGTGTGATGCCACTGTGTGATGTTACTGTGTGACGCCACTGTGTGATGTTACTGTGTGATGCCACTGTGTGACGCCACTGTGTGATGTTACTGTGGAATGTTACCGTGTCTGTGGGAAAAGAGATAGAGGAAGACAACAAGAGAAGATGCTTGACAGTCTTGTTGCATGGCATGGAGGTGTGTCGGCACACGAAATTTTACATGATGCAGGAGATCACAGATTATGGAGAGGCATGATCGCCCACGCCAGTCGGCAAGGCACCTAATGATGATGATGTTTACAGTGTCAAGTTACTGTGTGATGTTCTTGGCAGACCAAGCACTGTATGGATAAAGACTGAGCCCTAAGGGCTAAAGCCATTTGCAATCAGCTCATTGTCTCATCTTTTTAACACTATTTTGTTTGTTTGTGTTTATTCTTTTACAGTTTCTCACTGGCTTGTTGATCCAGCATTATCTTTTTATTGTCCTGAATAAATCAGCACAACCAGAAAATAGAGACACACTAATTTATTTACATGTGTCTTCAGCTCTCCAGCGCATTCAAGTGTTTGTAGTGTTATCCATATGTCTAAAATAACTAAGACAGTGTTAAATTACTGGTGTCTGGTACTGAAAGAGAGAGTTGTTACTGCTGTATTTTTTGGTGTGTGTGTGTGTGTGTGTGGAAAGGGGGGGGGGAGAAACTGGAAGAGAGAAGTTACTGATGTATTTTTTGGTGTGTGGTGGGGGTGGGGGGGTGGGGGTGGGGGGGGGGGGGAGGCTGAAAGAGAGTTAAGTTACTGTTGTCTGGTACTGATTATGTTACTGCTGTTTAGGACAAGAGTAACAGATAAAACATGACATTTCAGGGTGCAGAGGTTAGAGTTCACGGAGATGTGTATGATGAAGCTAAACAGTTGGCCCAGGAGCTCGGAAAGCAGCCAGGTACCAATTTATTAAAGCAAATGTTGAAATTAAAAATGGCAAGGATGTGATTATGGTTCTAATTTAGATTAACCTACTTTTGCATAATTAGTCAATGGCCATTTGAGACCAGGGTGGAAGCAGCTTCGAATACTTACCAAGAAGTGTGCTGGGAAGAAACGTTGTCTGATGAGTGTGTGATGTGTGTCTGAGGTGGTGCCCTTATGTGATTAATATTGATAGCGTGCGCAACTGCTGATCTGTTGGTGACTTCTGCTACCGTCGATGATGAACTGCATTTCTAATGTCAGACTGTTTGTGTTAGCACTTCTGACGGCTACTGTATGTTTTTAATGCTTGTGTATGCTAGTGCATATGCTGAGACAGCAGTCTGCCAATCTTTCCACAAGGGACTGCAAAGAACATTCTGTGTGTGTTTCATTGGCACAGGAGCGGAGCAACTATGAGGTGACTCGTTTGCTATGAAGCTGAAACTAAGATTACCAAGATATAAAGTATATTATTAAAAATTATTCACACCATGCATGTAAAGTTGTTAGATTATTTTATTTGTTGTATGTAAAAATTTCAGCATCTGTTATGTTTTGAAAAAACAATATGATAAATGTGTTATTTCCTGTCCACAGACAGTCTCTATGTCCCAGCATTTGAGCATCCTGCTCTCTGGTAAGTGAAACTCTCCTCACACCAAGCAAATAATGCTACACATATTTTTTTGTAGAATGTTGAATGTTGTTGAATGTTAAATTAAGAATCAACATCATAGCACTCAGGAAATCCAATAAGCGTTCTGTCCCCATCTTCAGCAGCAATTGAAGGGTTCCAATTCCGATGGCACCAGTAACTGTCTGACTGTATATGTGTCCTGCCTTTACCTTGAGTGTCGAGCGTTAGCCAGATCCCCTGGTAACTCCCTGCAGTGCCATTCTCCTCAGACTGTAATGATCTAATTGTGCCTCCAAAGTGTTCACTTGCTTCCATTGGGCCCTCACAAACGATAGCTCATCAAGTCTCAGTCTCCCTGTGTGGGTCCTGGGGTCCCACTGTGGGGAGAACAAGAATAGACCTACTGCCTCCCCAACAAGCATGTCCTAAGAGTTGAAAATTGAGGGTTTCCTTCAAAGCTGGAGTGCATCTGCCTGAGGGGCAAGGAACCAACAGTCTGCATACAAACAGCAAGATCTGTAAAAGGATGCACATGGAACATTCAGGTCCTGGAACAAAGCCAGAAATTAACAGTGTTTACAGCTGGTAAAAACAAACAATAATAACAATTCACAACCAAGTGGTGCAGAACCACTTTTAAAAAATTGTTTGGTAGACCAGTTGGTAGAAGATGGCTGATGGGTTTAGTATCATGGCAACTGCTTTGACTTGCAAGGACATTCCTGGTAACTGTTTCAGGCTGGGCCAGCAGTCTAAACTGAAACAAGTAATTGTAAGCTGACCAAGATAAGAAGATGCTCTTCTTATAGAAGGTATAAAGTGATGTGCAGAAAGCTGAAAGGAGTCCTTAGAGAATCTTAGATCGGTTATATTCTTTGATGTGGATTTGAACCCAAGACATTCAGGACAGCAGTCAAGCATATAGCCATGCACCACTGCTGCAGGTCGTTAGAATTTGTTTCACATGGCCCAATAACAATAATTCAATAATGTGCTCAGTCTACCAAACCTCAGATGGCTTAGGACACACTTGGAGGATAATTAGTTAGTTAATTAGCTAGTTGAAGTTTACAGATTATCCTCGTTGTACATCGAACCATTCATTCCATTAGTGCTTGGATCCCCTTCTTAGTAAATCCTTCTGTGTGTAGCGGCACCAGTTCTATGTAGGTTTCTTATTCATCTTTGGCTTCCTGCATAATGCTCTTGTCTGGCCACACCCCTTCTACACACAAAAACCACAACTGTCTCCCACCATTGTTGACCAGAAGTCTTTTTTTTTCTTGGAGGATAGAAGTGTCCTTAAGGATGTCCTCTAGTGACTGACAGATGGGTGAGAGATCTTGAGCTTAGCCTATGATGTAACCATGTGTGCAAGCTGGAGAGATCTTGAGGTTAGCCTATGATATAACCATGTGTACAAGCTGGAGAGATCTTGAGGTTAGCCTATGATATACCCATGTGTGCAAGCTGGAGAGATCCTGAGGTTAGCCTATGATATAACCATGCTGGAGAGATCTTGAGGTTAGCCTATGATATAACCAAGCTGGAGAGATCTTGAGGTTAGCCTGTGATATAACCATGTGTGCAAGCTGGAGAGATCTTGAGGTTAGCCTATGATATAACCAGGTGTGCAGGCTGGAGAGATCTTGAGCTTAGCCTATGATATAACCATGTGTGCAGGCTGGAGAGATCTTGAGGTTAGCCTATGATATAACCATGTGTGCAAGCTGGAGAGATCTTGAGGTTAGCCTATGATATAACCAGGTGTGCAGGCTGGAGAGATCTTGAGCTTAGCCTATGATATAACCATGTGTGCAGGCTGGAGAGATCTTGAGGTTAGCCTATGATATAACCATGTGTGCAAGCTGGAGAGATCTTGAGGTTAGCCTATGATATAATCATGTGTGCAAGCTGGAGAGATCTTGAGGTTGGCCTATGATATAACCATGTGTGCAGGCTGGAGAGATCTTGAGGTTAGCCTATGATATAACCATGTGTGCAAGCTGGAGAGATCTTGAGGTTAGCCTATGATATAACCAAGCTGGAGAGATCTTGAGGTTAGCCTATGATATAACCATGTGTGCAGGCTGGAGAGATCTTGAGGTTAGCCTATGATATAACCATGTGTGCAGGCTGGAGAGATCTTGAGGTTAGCCTATGATATAACCATGTGTGCAGGCTGGAGAGATCTTGAGGTTAGCCTATGATATAACCATGTGTGCAAGCTGGAGAGATCTTGAGGTTAGCCTATGATATAACCATGTGTGCAGGCTAGAGAGATCTTGAGGTTAGCCTATGATATAACCATGTGTGCAGGCTGGAGAGATCTTGAGGTTAGCCTATGATATAACCATGTGTGCAGGCTGGAGAGATCTTGAGGTTAGCCTATGATATAACCATGTGTGCAGGCTGGAGAGATCTTGAGGTTAGCCTATGATATAACCATGTGTGCAGGCTGGAGAGATCTTGAGGTTAGCCTATGATATAACCATGTGTGCAAGCTGGAGAGATCTTGAGGTTAGCCTATGATATAACCATGTGTGCAAGATCTTGAGGTTGGAGAGATCTTGAGGTTTAGCCTATGATATAACCATGTGTGCAAGCTGGAGAGATCTTGAGGTTAGCCTATGATATAACCAGGTGTGCAAGCTGGAGAGATCTTGAGGTTAGCCTATGATATAACCATGTGTGCAAGCTGGAGAGATCTTGAGGTTAGCCTATGATATACCCATGTGTGCAAGCTGGAGAGATCTTGAGGTTAGCCTGTGATATAACCATGTGTGCAAGCTGGAGAGATCTTGAGGTTAGCCTATGATATAACCATGTGTGCAAGCTGGAGAGATCTTGAGCTTAGCCTATGATATAACCATGTGTGCAAGCTGGAGAGATCTTGAGCTTAGCCTATGATATAACCATGTGTGCAAGCTGGAGAGATCCTGAGGTTGGCCTATGATATAACCAAGCTGGAGAGATCTTGAGGTTGGCCTATGATATAACCAAGCTGGAGAGATCTTGAGCTTAGCCTATGATATAACCAAGCTGGAGAGATCTTGAGGTTGGCCTATGATATAACCAAGCTGGAGAGATCTTGAGGTTAGCCTATGATATAACCATGTGTGCAAGCTGGAGATGAGTATCCCTTCCTGGTCCAGACTTTATGTTAATTTAAACCTCTCGCTCTCCCAACAAGGTTGTTTGTCAATCATGAGTAATGAAGATCAACAGATGAAAGCCGCAGAAAGTGCGGGATTAACAGTACTGTTCTTTCTAGTCTGCCTCCATTTCTCTGCCTGTGCAACATCCTCTGCCTGGCTGGCCGATACATCATGCCTGAGGAATTTACACCATTGAGAACGATCCTGTGCAGCAGCATCTTTTGTTGCTGAGTTGATGCCAAAAGAATTGAGAGCAGTCCTGAGAGTGTCCTTATAGCACTTTCTGTCCTTCCTGGGCTGTCTTCTCTTGCTGGAGCTTGCCATAAAATACTCTGCCAGCAATACAACCTTATGGCTGAACGTGGCTGATACAACCTTATGGCTGAACGTGGCTTACCAGCTTTTGTACATAAAGGATTCCTATTGTTGAGGTATTTATCCTGTTGACTGCAACCCTGGAAGGGACAAACAGCAACAGGTAAGAAATTGTACAGGTATTGAGGTTGATTTATATGAAAAGGATTCCATGAAGTGTGTTGCATGGAGTGAGACAATCAGGAAGATATAAAAAGAAAGATAACTGCAAAAATTATGTCTTCTTCTTCTTCTTCACTTCCTCTTTTACTGCTGTGGGTGTCGAGGGAGATATAAGGTTCTGTTTCTAGCTCTTCTGGCTGCCTCGACCATAGGCACATCGTGCTGTTGTAGAGTTTCTCTGATGTTATCCTTCCATCTTGTTCTTGGTCTACCCCGTGCTCTACGTCCTTCTTCTCTTCCCATTATGCTTTGTATGGTATGGTGTCATAAGGCATTCTCTCTAAGTGGGCAAACCATTTCACTTGCTGTCTTTGTATGTAATCCAGAATTGGTTCTGTGCCGACTTGTTCTCTTATGATCTCATTTCTGATCTTATCTCTTATGGTCACTCCTACAGCCCTTCTCAGACATCTCATTTCCGTGGTTACTAATTTTCTTTTATGGTTTGTTGTGAGTGACCATGTCTGGCACTGGTAGCACAGAGTTGGAATAAATATGCTTTGAATAAGATGTCTCTTTGTGCTGACTGGGATTGTCTTATGCTGTAAGAGGGGGGCTAGCTGTCCCAATAGTTGGTTTGCTTTACTGCATCTAATGTCAATTTCTTTATCCAATTTCCCATCTTCGGTAAATGTAGTTCCCAGATATTTAAACTCAGATGCCTGTTTAATGCCTTTGTATTCTATTGTTATGTTTAGATCTGTCTTCTTTTTTCCTATTGACATTACTTCTGTCTTTTCAGTGTTGATTTTCATATTTTTTGTTTTACATTCTTCATTCATGGATGTTAGATGTTGTTGCAATTTCATGGCTGTATCTGCTATCAAGGCCTGGTCATCTGCAAAGAGTAATTCGTTGATCTTACTAAGATCTTCATTCATGGGCTTGGCATTCTTGCATATACTGTCGATGTAAGTGATAAACAGCAGTGGTGATAAGACACACCCCTGTCTTACTCCAGATGTCACTGTGAAAGGATGAGATGTTCCCTGATTTATTCTAACTACACTTCTACAATCCCTGAATAAACTTTTGCACACTTCGATGAGGTGTTTTCGCTTACTCCATATCTTGCCATTATTTTCCATAATAATTGTCTGTCGACTCTGTCAAATGCCTTCTCCTGGTCTACGAATGCCACAAATAAGTTCTTATTGTATTCAATGTTCTTTTCTTTTAACTGTTTAAGTGTGAAGATTGCATCTGTGCAGCTTCTATTTCTCCTAAATCCCATCTGTTCTTCTGCCAGCTGTGGTTCTATCACTGGTCTCAGTCTTGTTTCTATTATCTTGGCATACATTTTGCCAACATGGCTTAAAAGAGAGATGCCTCGATATTGACCGCATTCTCGTTTGCTTCCTTTGTTCTTCCACAAAGAAATTATGTTCTCACTGATAAGTTACTTTTGCCTTCACTTAACTTTAATTATACTACCTTGCCTCTACTTTCTCATGGTGTAATGGCTAGATATACATCTGTAGATTTGTATGTTGTGGGTTCAAATCCAGACAGTTTTGGACTTTAGTTTTAAATGACCTTGGCTCCCAGGTCGACCCAGCCTTAAAGGGGTACCGGATAAAAGTCTTGGTTTTACACATGGTCTTCTTGTAGGATGCAATTTTTCATTATTTGAAGCCCCACCCTAGCTTTTGCTGGGAGCCCTGAATATAGCTGGGCCACAATTGTGCCCTGAAAATAGCCGGGGCATAGATATGGTCTAGCCATAGATATGGCCTAATGGCTGAAAGAGGTTTCTGGGACCTCTTCATGGATAATCCTCATCCGCATGGTGGCACTTTGTGTCCAAGGTGTTTATTGTATGCGTGATGTCCTGGTGGGGTAAACAGTCAGTCAGTCAGTCAGTCAGTCAGTCAGTCAGTCTAGCCATATGTCCAATACACTTGAAGGCATGGAAAAGGGTCCTTCTCTCATAGATACATTACTTTTACCTCCACTTTTTCTGTTTCCAATGTATATTTTCAATTGTCCAGGGAAGGGCATTCAAGCCTGATTGTGGAAACTGAAAGACAAATGAAGGTCAAGCCTGACGTTGTTATTACGAGCGTGGGAGGGGGAGGGCTACTCAACGGCATGATACAGGGAATGAGGCAGGTCGGCTGGACTGATGTGCCAGTTGTTGCTATAGAAACTCACGGCGCTAACTGTTTCAATGCTGCCATCGCAGCTGGTGAGGTGGTGACCCTTCCTGCAATTACCAGGTAATGCTTCTTAATTATGTGTGAGGTCATTGCAATTTTTAGCTTCATACAGTTACTGTACAGGTTCTGTCATTATTTTATGTATGTTATTGTTTCTTTCAGTTAATCATAGCGATGTCACATCACATTTATTCATAATTGTCTTTTTTCTTTTCTGTTTATTTTAGATTTCACATTACTATTTTGTATATTTACTAATTCTTAATTCAGTTTATTATAGGTGTAATATCACTTTTTTAATTTATGTTATTGTTTCAAACAGTTTAAGTAAATGTCAAATAGCTGTTTTATATATGTTGTGGCTTTATTCAGTTTACTGTAATGTAGCTATTTGATATATATGTATATTGGAATAAAGAAGATACAAACAGTAGATTGTACAATTTATTGCCTTGTAGTGTTCAGTCTATTGTTTGTATCTTTATTCAAATGTTCAATAGGGAAACATGGCTTTGATATATGTATATTATTATTTCACTGAGTTAATTATAGATGTCAAATAGTTATTTTGTGTTACTGCTTCATTGAGTTCATAAAAGATACCATTTATCTATTTTATTTTTATGATTGTTTCATTCTGTTGAAAAATAAGTTATTTAACCTCATTTAAATGATTGTTCCAGCTAGTTTATCAGTGTCATAATCTTCCACTTTTGCTATCAAGTCTTAAGGAAGAATAATTGATAACGACTGTCTCCCTGTGTGTTTCCGGGCCCCTTTGGAGTTTTAAAAAAATTAGCCCAATGCCTCCCTAACAAGCATGTTATAATAGTTGACTAATTGGGGGTTTCCTTCAAAGTCAGAGTTCTTAAGAGGCAAGGAACCAGTAGTCTGCATACTAGTGAGCTAAACCTGTAAAATGGATTTGAATGCAAAAACTCTCATTCTTGAACATAACCGAGGTCCAGAAGTGAACAAACAACTAGAACTTACTGCCAGAGTTAACAGCAAGTGAACATGAAAGAAGAAGAAGAAGAAGAAGACAATAACGCTTAATGGGTGGTATTATCATTGAATGACTAAAATCTTTTGGATCCTTTGGGGTTGGGCTTTCTTCAAAGTTGGGTTTCACAGAAGAATTCAGGCAATTCTAAAGATAACCAAGATGATGGACTAAAGATTTTAAATGAGGTTGGGACACGAAGAAGGCTTCTTATACCTACTGGAAAGGGACAGTTATGTTTTACTGGGTGTCTTTTCTAAGAAGAGAAAGATAAGAGCATTCTTTGAGAACTTGAAAGATTTAGTGGAAAGAGTGAAAGACAAGAGAAGAATCTTGACAACCTTTTTTTCATGACATGGACAAATTCAGCACACAAACTGATACACGTTTTTTGAGATGGCCAGATGTGAAAATGCGTAATCGCTTACACTGTGAGAACAGCAATTAATTATGCTGACTGTGGCATTGTATCTGCTCTGTATCTGTATATTAATTATCATCACAAAACTCTCTGGCGTGAAGCGGCATGGGGAGGAATAATTTGCAATCCAGTGTGCACTAGCTAATGTCATGCCGTGTTGACATAAAGTGTCGTTAATGCTGTCGATCCATATTTTTGTGGCCGTCCCCTTGCTCTTGTAGCTGATCTTTTAAGATGTAGTGCTTGTGATGGTATTTAATGTTGCTGCAATCTAACAAGATGGCCAAATTACTTGATCTGCTGTGTCTAGATAAATCTAGTATAAAGTGTTGTTTCCACAATCAGTTATCAACATCTTGTTTTTCTATATATTCTTCACACACACACACAAGTTGCAAGTCGTTTACTAAATGTTGCAGACCAGCAGATGCATGATTGCCTGTTGTCAGGTTTTTGACAGTTTTATTATTGCAGCCTTACTGAGTAATGTTCCCATAGTTACCAGTGGATACATTGCAGTCTTACTGAGTAATGTTTCCATAGTTACCAGTGGATACATTGCAGCCTTACCAAGTAATGTTTCCATAGTTACCAGTGGATACATTGCAGCTTACCAAGTAATGTTCCCATAGTTACCAGTGGATACATTGCAGCCTTACCGAGTAATGTTTCCATAGTTACCAGTGGATACATTGCAGCCTTACCAAGTGATGTTCCCATAGTTACCAGTGGATACACTGCAGCCTTACCAAGTAATGTTCCCATAGTTACCAGTGGATACATTGCAGCCTTACCAAGTGATGTTCCCTTAGTTACCAGTGGATACATTGCAGCCTTACCAAGTAATGTTCCCATAGTTACCAGTGGATGCATTGCAGCCTTACCAAGTAATGTTCCCATAGTTACCAGTGGATACATTGCAGCCTTACCGAGTAATGTTCCCATAGTTACCAGTGAATACATTGCAGACTTAACGAGTGATGTTCCAATAGTTACCAGAGGATACATTGCAGCCTTACCGAGTGATGTTCCCATAGTTACCAGTGAATACATTGCAGACTTAACGAGTGATGTTCCAATAGTTACCAGAGGATACATTGCAGCCTTACCGAGTGATGTTCCCATAGTTACCAGTGGATACATTGCAGCCTTATGAGTGATGTTTTCATAGTTACCAGTGGATACATTGCAGCCTTATGAGTGATGTTCCCATAGTTACCAGTAGATACATTGCAGCCTTACCAAGTAATGTTCCCATAGTTACCAGTGGATGCATTGCAGACTTAACGAGTGATGTTCCAATAGTTACTAGAGGATACATTGCAGCCTTACCAAGTGATGTTCCCATAGTTACCAGTGGATACATTGCAGCCTTACCGAGTGATGTTCCCATAGTTACCAATGGATACATTGCAGCCTTACCAAATAATGTTTCCATAGTTACCAGTGGATACATTGCAGCCTTACCGAGTGATGTTCCCATAGTTACCAGTGGATACATTGCAGTCTTACCGAGTAATGTTCCCATGGTTACCAGTGGATACATTGCAGCCTTACCGAGTAATGTTCCTATAGTTACCAGTGGATACATTGCAGCCTTACCGAGTAATGTTCCCATAGTTACCAGTGGACACATTGCAGCCTTACCGAGTGATGTTCCCATAGTTACCAGTGGATACATTGCAGCCTTACCAAGTAATGTTCCCATAGTTACCAGTGGATACATTGCAGCCTTACCAAGTAATGTTCCCATAGTTACCAGTGGATGCATTGCAGCCTTACCGAGTGATGTTCCCATAGTTACCAATGGATACATTGCAGCCTTACCAAATAATGTTTCCATAGTTACCAGTGGATACATTGCAGCCTTACCGAGTGATGTTCCCATAGTTACCAGTGGATACATTGCAGCCTTACCGTGTAATGTTCCTATAGTTATCAGTGGATACATTGCAGCCTTACCGAGTAATGTTCCCATAGTTACCAGTGGACACATTGCAGCCTTACCGAGTGATGTTCCCATAGTTACCAGTGGATACATTGCAGCCTTACCAAGTAATGTTCCCATAGTTACCAGTGGATACATTGCAGCCTTACCAAGTAATGTTCCCATAGTTACCAGTGGATGCATTGCAGCCTTACCAAATAATGTTTCCATAGTTACCAGTGGATACATTGCAGCCTTACCAAATAATGTTTCCATAGTTACCAGTGGATACATTGCAGCCTTACCAAATAATGTTTCCATAGTTACCAGTGGATACATTGCAGCCTTACCGAGTGATGTTCCCATAGTTACCAGTGGATACATTGCAGCCTTACCGAGTAATGTTCCCATAGTTACCAGTGGATACATTGCAGCCTTACCGAGTAATTTTCCCATAGTTACCAGTGGACACATTGCAGCCTTACCGAGTAATGTTCCCATAGTTACCAGTGGACACATTGCAGCCTTACCGAGTGATGTTCCCATAGTTACCAGTGGATACATTGCAGCCTTACCAAGTAATGTTCCCATAGTTACCAGTGGATACATTGCAGCCTTACCAAGTAATGTTCCCATAGTTACCAGTGGATGCATTGCAGCCTTACCGAGTAATGTTCCCATAGTTACCAGTGGATGCATTGCAGCCTTACCGAGTAATGTTCCCATAGTTACCAGTGGATACATTGCAGCCTTACCGAGTAATGTTCCCATAGTTACCAGTGGATACATTGCAGCCTTACCGAGTGATGTTCCCATAGTTACCAGTGGATACATTGCAGCCTTACCGAGTAATGTTCCCATAGTTACCAGTGGATACATTGCAGCCTTACCAAGTAATGTTCCCATAGTTACCAGTGGATACATTGCAGCCAACCTTCTTTATGGAGATAGCACAATTTAAAAATAAAAATGTATAGTAGTTTGCCATTGCTTTCTAGCATGATGATGCTTATGACCATATCAAAACCAATGCACTGAGGTCTGCAACCAATCTCCCTGCAGCTGACTTGGAGACCTTGTATGTTAGAAATGTAAAATTGTGTTCACAACCCTAAGCTGCAAATGCCGACTGTTTACAAACAAGTACTATACATCCTGGTAACTCTTTCTTTTCAGTATTGCTAAAAGTCTTGGATCTCTCAGTGTAAGTCCCGTTACTCTGGAATATTACCAGCAGAAGCAACCTCCTATTATCAGCCAGTTGGTCACAGACAAGGAAGCCGTGCATGCTTGTGTCCAGTTTGCAGGTAAGTGTGCGGTCACCAGAGGTTAAAGTAGTTGTAGAGAAGTTAATTTTCATCTTCCTCCTTCTTCTTCTCAGTATTCAGCAGCTATCAACTTCAGCAGAAAGTCCTGATTGTTCCTCCAGGTTTTGCTCCAGAACTTAAGCATTGTGTGCACATCCGTTTTACAGATCTGACATATTTGTATGCAAACTGGTTGGTTTCTTGCCTGTCAGAAGGTGCACTCTAACTTCGAAGGAAATGCCCTTAACTAGTAGACTTTTATGACATGCTTGTTGGGGGTGGGTGGGGTGGCCCCACTGGGGTCCTGGAATCCAAACGAAGATGCATTTTGTTATGAATAGCCAACCGCACTGATAGGTTAAAAGCTGAGCATCTAAAAAAAATTTCTTTGCAACAATGACCTTGAAATCCCAGCTCCAAGTGCGGAAGACTTTTTTTTTAAACGCGCATGAGTCTTGCTAGTTACATTTGACATCACCATGGGCTGTAATTCCCAGAGCACGATATAAAACTATTGTCTGGAAAGTCGGACATATAACCAGATTGTGACCAGTACAATCAGTATTAGAACTCTGTGCTGGCTGCTGAAGATGAGGACGGAGCATGCATGGGAATGCCCTGAGTGCTGTGATGTTGATTCTTGACTCAACTCAACTCAGCTCAACTCAAAACTATCATCTGGAAAGAGAGAAAGGTGGCAACAACAACAAGCCAACCATACAATCTGGTTGAGGGAGCCTGTGGTAATCCAGTGGTTAAACCTGGAAGCTGGAAACCCAACACTTCCAGCTGCGGCTGACTCCCTGTAGGTGTTACTATTGTGACTTTACAATAGCGACCTGTTTACAAGGCACAGATACTGGCTATTAGATGAGTTTGCACCTGCACAAATGTTTATGAGGTCAGAAACAAATAATATTTAAGGGCATTTTCGTTCAAATCAAATGTTTTTTTTTTAGAGTCAAGCTGATGTTAAATTTCTCCCAAGCCTCACTGACAGTGGTCACAGCATGAGTCACTTAGTACATACATATCTATTTTAGACCTTGGGGAATGTGTTCCACTGGATTCTTCACTGTCCTTGGTTACTACCTTAGTACATACATATCTATTTTAGACCTTGGGGAATGTGTTCCATTGGATTCTTCACTGTCCTTGGTTACTACCTTAGTACATACATATCTATTTTAGACCTTGGGGAATGTGTTCCACTGGATTCTTCACTGTCCTTGGTTACTACCTTAGTACATACATATCTATTTTAGACCTTGGGGAATGTGTTCCATTGGATTCTTCACTGTTCTCATGTATTGGGGAATGTGTTCCATTGGATTCTTCACTGTTCTCATGTATTGGGGAATGTGTTCCATTGGATTCTTCACTGTTCTCATGTATTGGGGAATGTGTTCCATTGGATTCTTCACTGTTCTTGGTTACTACCGTAGTATATGTCTGCATAAAGAAAAACAAATTGTACATAAATACATTAAAACAAATGTATCATCAGTGGTATGGAGGAATATCATCAGTGACATGGAGGAATATCATCAGTAACATGGAGGAATAACATCAGTGGCATGGAGGAATAACATCAGTGGCATGGAGGAATAACATCAGTGGCATGGAGGAATATCATCAGTGGCATGGAGGAATATCATCAGTGGCATGGAGGAATATCATCAGTGGCATGGAGGAATATCATCAGTGGCATGGAGGAATAACATCAGTGGCATGGAGGAATAACATCAGTGGCATGGAGGAATAACATCAGTGGCATGGAGGAATAACATCAGTGGCATGGAGGAATAACATCAGTGGCATGGAGGAATATCATCAGTGGCATGGAGGAATATCATCAGTGGCATGGAGGAATATCATCAGTGGCATGGAGGAATATCATCAGTGGCATGGAGGAATAACATCAGTGGCATGGAGGAATAACATCAGTGGCATGGAGGAATAACATCAGTGGCATGGAGGAATAACATCAGTGGCATGGAGGAATAACATCAGTGGCATGGAGGAATATCATCAGTGGCATGGAGGAATATCATCAGTGGCATGGAGGAATATCATCAGTGGCATGGAGGAATATCATCAGTGGCATGGAGGAATATCATCAGTAGCATGGAGGAATATCATCAGTGGCATGGAGGAATAACATCAGTGGCATGGAGGAATATCATCAGTGACATGGAGGAATATCATCAGTGGCATGGAGGAATATCATCAGTGGCATGGAGGAATATCATCAGTGGCATGGAGGAATATCATCAGTGGCATGGAGGAATAACATCAGTGGCATGGAGGAATAACATCAGTGGCATGGAGGAATAACATCAGTGGCATGGAGGAATAACATCAGTGGCATGGAGGAATAACATCAGTGGCATGGAGGAATATCATCAGTGGCATGGAGGAATATCATCAGTGGCATGGAGGAATATCATCAGTGGCATGGAGGAATATCATCAGTGGCATGGAGGAATATCATCAGTGGCATGGAGGAATATCATCAGTGGCATGGAGGAATATCATCAGTGGCATGAAGGAATATCATCAGTGGCATGGAGGAATATCATCAGTGGCATGGAGGAATATCATCAGTGGCATGGAGGAATATCATCAGTGGCATGGAGGAATATCATCAGTGGCATGGGGGAACATCATCAGTGGCATGGAGGAATATCATCAGTGGCATGAAGGAATATCATCAGTGGCATGGAGGAATATCATCAGTGACATGGAGGTATATCATCAGTGGCATGGAGGAATATCATCAGTGGTATGGAGGTATATCATCAGTGGCATGGAGGAATATCATCAGTGGCATGGAGGTATATCATCAGTGGCATGGAGGAATATCATCAGTGGCATGAAGGAATATCATCAGTGGCATGGAGGAATATCATCAGTGGCATGGAGGAACATCATCAGTGACATGGAGGAATATCATCAGTGGTATGGAGGAATATCATCAGTGGCATGGAGGAATATCATCAGTGGTATGGAGGAACATCATCAGTGGCATGGAGGAATATCATCAGTGGCATGGGGGAACATCATCAGTGGCATGGAGGAATATCATCAGTGGCATGAAGGAATATCATCAGTGGCATGGAGGAATATCATCAGTGACATGGAGGTATATCATCAGTGGCATGGAGGAATATCATCAGTGGTATGGAGGTATATCATCAGTGGCATGGAGGAATATCATCAGTGGCATGGAGGTATATCATCAGTGGCATGGAGGAATATCATCAGTGGCATGAAGGAATATCATCAGTGGCATGGAGGAATATCATCAGTGGCATGGAGGAACATCATCAGTGACATGGAGGAATATCATCAGTGGTATGGAGGAATATCATCAGTGGCATGGAGGAATATCATCAGTGGTATGGAGGAATATCATCAGTGGTATGGAGGAATATCATCAGTGACATGGAGGAATATCATCAGTGACATGGAGGAACATCATCAGTGGTATGGAGGAACATCATCAGTGACATGGAGGAATATCATCAGTGGCATGGAGGAATATCATCAGTGGCATGGAGGAATATCATCAGTGGTATGGAGGAATATCATCAGTGACATGGAGGAATATCATCAGTGACATGGAGGAATATCATCAGTGGCATGGAGGAATATCATCAGTGGGATGGAGGAATATCATCAGTGGCATGGAGGAATATCATCAGTGACATGGAGGAATATCATCAGTGACATGGAGGAATATCATCAGTGGCATGGAGTAATATCATCAGTGGCATGGAGAAATATCATCAGTGACATGGAGGAATATCATCAGTGACATGGAGAAATATCATCAGTGACATGGAGGAATATCATCAGTGACATGGAGGAATATCATCAGTGGCATGGAGGAATATCATCAGTGGCATGGAGGAATATCATCAGTGACATGAAGGAATATCATCAGTGGCATGGAGGAATATCATCAGTGGCATGGAGGAATATCATCAGTGGTATGGAGGAATATCATCAGTGGCATGGAGGAATATCATCAGTGACATAGAGGAATATCATCAGTGACATGGAGGAATATCATCAGTGGCATGGAGGAATATCATCAGTGGCATGGAGGAATATCATCAGTGACATGGAGGAATATCATCAGTGGTATGGAGTAATATCATCAGTGGCATGGAGGAATATCATCAGTGGAACTGATCCACAACACTAAAGACCGAGGTCTGTGAAGATGCATGAATATCTACACCAGGGGGAAGGCACTAGATGATGATGACAATGTTTTCAAGGGATTTTGGTTTTTTCAAGAATTCCCATGAGTTCGTGACCTATTTTATTAGCATAAGCGCAGTTAATAAGATACCTGCCTGTCGACCCGGTAGTCAGATGTTCAAATTCAGAAGGATCACAACATAAAGAAAGATTGGCTAATAAACAGCCTCTTGTCTCAGAAGCTGAAATATTTTGGTCATATCAAGCGCCATGGCGGATTAAAAAAAAAAAAGCACAAGGCATGATACCAATAAGGAGGGGCAGGGGCCCACCAACACAAAGATGGGCACATGATATAAGTATATGAAAGTACATGAGGCAGTACAGCTGGTGATAGTCTGAGGTTCTGGCAGACCTTGATAAAAGCGATGTTATGCAAAGGATCTGCTACATGACACATGATGATGATGTGTTTACCAGATCTGCAAACAAATATTTTTCTGATGCACATTTAAATATCACACACACACACACACACACACATGCACGCACGCACGCACCCATACACACACACACACACACAAACAAAGTATTGCCCACTTGTTTGCCTGGCATATTTAGCTGTGCCTTGTCATTCACATTACTACAGACATAAGAAAGTGCCTACACACACACACACACAACACATAAAAATGAATCCTTTTCACTGAAATACACAATTCACAATGTCTGGTTACACTGTACATCTCTCCATTAGAAATTCAAGATTGGTCCCATGGTTACTATGGCGATTTAAAAATTACCACCTGCTCGAATTGTGCCTTGCAAGTTGTTAGCCACCTGGAAGCAGCCGAAGCTTTGACAATTAAAAGAAACAATCCAACACTGTGCAAAAACAAACAAAAAAACTCCTTATGGCTGAAATATGTATTGCTTTAAATTCCCCATGTGGGTTCTGAGGCCCCATTTTTTAGGGAAAAAGAAAAGACCCCCCTCCCCCCCCACCCCTAACAAGCATGTCATAAAAGGCAACTAATTAGGGTTGTTTTAAAGGCAGACAGAAGAAGAGGAAGGCCAAAGAAAAGTGGATGCAGGATGTGGCAGATGATCTCCAGATGGGTGTATCGGATGCAGGACATCTTGCTTGGGATTGAGAAGTTTTCCGGAGGGGTGTTATGGGAGCAAGGTTCTGCAAGGGTCATGCTACTAATTGACTAACTGACTGATGCTAAACATAAGTTCTTGAAAAAGACCAAAGCCCAGAAGTGGATGAACAACCAAAACTTTCTGCCAGAGTTTACAGCCGGTGAACACTAGGAAGATGAAGAAGAACAATGTTGCCTTAAAGCTTAACTCTAGAAAGGTTAAAAGTAACAACTGCTTGGTCTGAAACAACTAGAATAAAGTAGTTTATGTCCTTTGAGTTTCCTCTGATTCTTGTCTTGTCACCAGAAGATCACAGACTGCTTGTAGAGCCAGCTTGTGGTGCCACATTGGCTGCCCTATACAGCAACATCATCCATAAACTGGTGGAACAAGGGCAGCTGCAGAACATCACAACAGTCCTGGCAATTGTTTGCGGGGGTTCCATTGTTTCAACATCTGTTATGGAAGGTTGGAAGGACCAGTTTGGTCTATGAACACACCAATCTTCAATTTCAGTTGGAAATGTAATCCATGATTGTATGTGATAATAAAATCAGTCTGAAGCAAATGTGAGAGATGTTACTGTTCTTTCTGTTTCTGGCCAGGTGTGCAGAGAGTGGCCAGGTGTGCAGAGAGTGGCCAGCGGGTGCAATGGGGGTTGAAGTCCAACAGTTCATTTATGACAATTCACGACTAGGTGATCTGATTATCTATATAGATGGTTCAGTGTTGAAAGGAAAGAGAAGTGCCTGGGGATTCGTGGCGAAAGCCAATGGGAAATCTTTAGTGCAAAACAGCCTAGCATATAACACCACAACATCTAGCATTAGAATGGAGGTGGAGGCGGTAACTGCAGCTCTCTGGTGGCTAGAGAACAAGATGCATACACATGTAATTGTAACTGACTCTGAAAGCATGCTGAAAAAGGTGAAGACAGGGATGCTTCAAGCAGAGTGGCAAGCTTCACTGGAAAGGTCACGGGTTGTGAGCATACTTTGAATCTTTTCTCCAGGCGATGCCAGTGTGGTGGGTAATGAACAGGTGAACAGATTGGCTGGATCTGCACCACTGGGTGGTGAATTGATACATGACAAGGCAGATGTGTTCAAGGCTTTTTGGGAACAAGTAACGAAATCAGTAGAGAAAGAAGATTATTATGGCTTAGAGAGAATGAGGCACCTGGGTGTAACCAGAGGGTATGGCCGGCTTACTACACTCAGAGGAAAGGCAAGATGGACATTTGACCAGATTGTGACCAGTACCATCAGTACTGGAACTCTGGGCTGGCTGCTCAAGATGGGGACGGAGCATGCATGGGAATGCCCCGAGTGCTGTGGTGTCAATTCTTGACTCAACTCCACTCAACTCTGTTTGAAAGATGTTGTTCTTTCTGTTGAATTCTGTGTGAAAGATGTTGTTCTTTCTGTTGAATTCTGTGTGAAAGATGAATGGCTAAATGGGCTGAATGTACAGTGGGTCAGCATGCCCAGTCTGTGATCTTTCAAAAACAAAGTTTATTTTTGTAAATTTCAAAATACGAGCATTCAGTATGGTTCCTTAATTTCTGCATTTACTTTGTCTGAGCACAGTCTAGGGAGATTGATGTGGGGGGGGGGGGGGGAGGTGGAATTGGGGGGTGTGGAAATGGAAGTGATGAGAGGTTCTGATAGATGCTCGAGGCTCAGAAGTAAGGCATGATGGACGTTTAAACAAAATGCTACTGGCACCATTAATATCAGAACTCTTCACTGGCTGCTGAAGATGGAGACAGAATGCTTATGGAAATGCACCGAGTGCTGTGATGTCGGTTCTTGAATCAACTCAACTGAGCTTCAGAAATCTGGCTCACCCAATGAGCACATTGAAAGTAAAGAAGACTTTTGCAAACCTTCAGGCACATTGGGCACCTGGGGCTGGATCTATATTTTATGGCACATGGTGGGTTATGAGGTCAACATCACACAGAGTGACCACATGACCTGTCAATTAATATAAATGTATATAAAAAAGAAGGAAAGCGTGTACACCTAAAAACTTGCAAAAAGCTAATTTCTATGTGACTATCAATGAGAAGTTAAATGTTACTGATTTCTGTGCACTTGTCACTGCAAAATTAATGTTAATGATTTCTGTGCATGTGTCACTGCAAAGTTAATGTTACTGATTTCTGTGCATGTGTCACTGCAAAGTTAATGTTACTGATTTCTGTGCTTGTGTCACTGCAAAGTTAATGTTACTGATTTCTGTGCACATGTCACTGCAAGTTAATGTTAATGATTTCTGTGCATGTGTCACTGCAAAGTTAATGTTACTGATTTCTGTGCATGTGTCACTGCAAAGTTAATGTTAATGATTTATGTGTATGTACACTTACAACTGAACAGTTAATGTTACTCATTTCCATACTGTCAATTAATCATGTGACATCTCCACAGTAAAGGTTGGCTATAGTAAATCTCCAAAACTCTATGGCCTCATTTGTTCTGTCTCACATATTGATGTTCCTTTGTGAGTTAGTTTTCATGTATATAAAGTTGTTATTGATGGCCATTATTTGATCTTTCCTGTGGTCTTCCCTTAGTTTTGTGCTCATTAGGTTTTCCTTATATATGGCTCAATGTGGCAATGGTACCAGGTCAAACTTCACAGGTAGCCAAACCATTTGATATGTTGCTGTTTATGAATTGTATAACTGGTTTCAGTCCTAATCTTTCTTTCTTTTCTTTCAAAGGGGCTTTTGAGCTGAAATGCTATAGACAGATTCTTAGAAATGTATGAACTTAGAGGAATAGAAATACAGACATCCTAAAAGATTTGACCATGAAGGTAAATTGGCTACTAAACAGCATCCTGTCTCAGAAACTGAACATGCTTTGGCCATATCAAATGCCCTGATGGATTGGAAAGAACAGCAGTGGAGGGCATAGTACCGGGTGGCATTGCACTGGCTGGCATAGCACCGGGTGGCATTGCACCAGGTGGTAAAGCACTGTTTGGCATAGCACCAGGTGGTATAGCACGGGGTGTCATAGCACTGGCTGGCTTACCACTGACTGGCATAGCACAGGGAAGCATAGCACTAAGTGCCATAGCACCGGGTGGCATAGCACCAGGTGGCAAAGCACTGGGTGGTATAGCACTGGCTGGCATAGCACCGAGTGGTATATCACTGGCTGGTATAGCACTGGGTGGCATAGCACTGGTTGGTATAGCACTGGTTGGCATAGCACCAGGTGGTATAGCACAGGGTGTCAGCACTGGCTGGCATAGCACCGGGTGGTGTAGCACTGGGTGGTGTAGCACCGGGTGGCATAGCACTGGCTGGCACAGCACCGGGTGGCATAGCACTGGCTGGCATAGCACCGGGTGGCATAGCACTGGCTGGCACAGCACCGGGTGGCATAGCACTGGCTGGCTTACCACTGGCTGACATAGCACGGGGTGGCATAGCACTGGGTGGCATAGCACTGACTGGCTTACCACTGGCTGGCATAGCACTGGGTGGCATAACACTGGGTGGAATAGCACTGGTTGGCATAGCACCAGGTGGTATAGCACGGGGTGTCATAGCACTGGCTGGCATAGCACCGGGTGGTATAGCACTGGGTGGTGTAGCACAGGGTGGCATAGCACTGGCTGGCACAGCACCGGGTGGCATAGCACTGGCTGGCATAGCACCGTGTGGCATAGCACTGGCTGGCATAGTCCGGGTGGCATAGCACTGGCTGGCTTACCACTGGATGACATAGCACCGGGTGACATAGCACGGAGTGTCATAGCACTGGCTGGCATAGCACTGGGTGTTATAGCACTGGGTGGCATAGCACTGGCTGGCACAGCACCGGGTGGCATAGCACTGGCTGGCACAGCACCGGGTGGCATAGTCCGGGTGGCATAGCACTGGCTGGCTTACCACTGGCTGACATAGCACCGGGTGGCATAGCACTGGGTGGCATAGCACTGGCTGGCTTACCACTGGCTGGCATAGCACCGGGTGGCATAACACTGGGTGGAATAGCACTGGGTGGTATAGCACCGGGTGGCATAGCACCAGGTGGCATAGCACTTGGTGGCATAGCACCGGGTGGCATAGGATTGGCTGGCATAGCACCGGGTGGCATACCACTGGCTGGCATAGCATTGGTTGGCATAGCACGGGGTAGCATTGCAATGGCTGGCGTAGCACCGGGTGGTATAGCACCAGGTGGCATAACACCGGGTGGCATAGCACCGGGTTGCATAGCTCAGGGTAAGAGGGTCCGGGGCTGACCAGTATGAAGATGGGCACAGGATAGATGTGACACCTTAGTCAGGGAAGTGCATGAGGCACCAGAGCTAGAAATGAACTAAGTTTTTTTTAGGCATCCTGTGATGGGAGAGACGTTGTGTAAAGGACCTGCCACATGATGATGATGAGGCACATGTACTTGCTTGTACCAAACAAAGAAACTCAAATTTGTGTCTCCTGGGTGATTACTCGAAGCTATATATCTTTTCTGATATAGATGAAAAAGAAAACAACAACAAAAGGAAGTAGGAGTTTGGAGTTTTCCCAAATCCCTAACTTCTAGAGCTATTCATAGGGGCCAAATTACAATGCCTGTGGTAAATTATTTCGTTTTATAAGACATGCTTCCATGTTTACTTTAGGACAGCCTGATTTTATAACTTGAGTTATACTTGACAGAATAAACAACACATATACATAGAAAGAGTAAAAGAACAACAACACACAGAAAAACATAGAATAAACAACATAAACACTAAGTAAACAACATAGAATAAACAATGTGGAACAAACAATTTAAAATGAATAAAACAGAATAAATATAGAATAAAGAACATAGAAACAATCACAAAGTAACACATGTGAACAACATAGGACAAAAACAACTAAATAAACAACATAGAACAAATAATATAAAACAGAATAAACAATACAGAATCAAGAAACTGTGAAAACCAAATGACATAAAACAAATAAACAAACAACAAGGAATAAACTCAGCATAAATAACATGTAGTGGACCAAGAGGTGAAGAAAAGACGCTAGCATTGGATAGGACACAGGTTGAGAAAACCTGAGAACAATATCACTAGAATGTCTTTGCACTTGAACCCACAGGGGCATAGAAATAAAGGAATAAAAAAAAAAAAACACATGGAGAAGGGAACTAAAGAGTGAGCTTACAAAGATGAGGAGGACATGGGAAGAGCTGCATGCTATAGCAAAGGATAGAACGACTTGGCCTGAGTTGGTTGAGGGTCTATGCTCCACTGGGGGCTAGAAAGGCAGGAGAAGAAATAACAGGAGACAACATTAGAAATAAAAACATAGAACAAGCAATGCAAAATAAACAACATACAACACAGAATAAATAAGGTAGAATAACTAATAATGAATAAGCAACATCAAGAATAAAAACACAGCAGAATACAGAAACATGCTTCTGCACACAAAAAAGCCATACAAGCAGCATCTCTTTAATGAAGCCTTTATTTTGTGAAAGCAGATACCAAGTGATACAAGTGTCAGTGTGTACATGTAAGTAATGTGAGGACAACATTCACAGGTACACTTCTGTCTTTTTTCTGCCCTATAGCTGTTTGTGCCATGTCATTCTATCCTTTGCCAATGTGTTCAGTTCACCCCACATCTTCCCTCTCTTTCTCCATCCCATTCCTTTCTTCCCCATCAGTACTGTGGTCCAGTTTTTATGTCACTGACCCTGTAGGTGCCAGCACAAGGACATTCTACTTTTACATCTAATAAACACATAGTCTTTTTATTTTCATTCTCCTTGTCAGTGGTTTTCAGACGAGGCCCCTGTTCTCTATTAAGTGTGTGGTGTGGCACGTCTTCCACTGTTCTTGGTTTCCAGTGGAATGCCAGCTGTCAAATCTGAGATCTTTCTACTGCTTTGTTGAGAGCCTATGTGGCACATCTTCAGTATTCTGCGGTGTAAAGTCCACAGGGGCAAAGTTCAGGATCTCCAATAGTGAGAACTTGGAATCTTCTACTCCGCAGTTACTATTTTAGCTCTTTCAAATCTAAACAGTACTATCTGCCACAGCGAGTCATGCTGAAATGTTAAAACAGGTATAGAGCGAGCGGAAGACCTCAGAAAAGATGGAGTGATGGCATTAAGAACAGCCTTATAGAAATGAACATCAGTCTTAATAGTGCTGTTGACAGAGCTCATCAACGAACATTACATCTCCCCAGACATTTCACTGAGGTACAAGGTGGAAGAGAAGAAGAAAAAGAAAATCCAAACAGTGGCTACTTTAAAGTTCTCTTAACGACAGAGTACTAGTAGCTATCGGATACTGTCAAAGTTAAAATCTGTCACCTTTCGCCCCAGTGACCTAAGGAAAAAAAATACAATGCCAAGATCAAGTAATTTTGGAATTTTGTGCTTTCCTTACACACACAAAAATTCCTTGAAAAAAAAAATCCCAACCATTTTATACAGATCATAAAAATCATACAAAATCATAACAGTTGCACTTATGGATCAAAACATTATTTCATTGCAAAAAAAAAATCATGGAAGCAATCAATAAACATAAATGGGGCTGAGAATGAACTGGGTGACTCTCTCTGAGCTTACAAAATGTTTAACCTGATCCATTCTTGACCCCGTGACCCAGCCACCAGTTACCACTGGACCTAACCAGAAATTCTGATGTCCAAATTTCTATAAAGAAAGCCATTTCCCACAAGGAAACGCCACCGAAGTGCAATTTTTAGAAACTGTGCTCGTTACTAGTCAGTCTAACAACTTTCCCAGGGACAAAATGGAAGCATTGTTGTTTATGCGGGGGAGGGGGGGATGCTCCTCATAAACAAATCTCTATAGCGAGCCGGGAAAAGAAATTTACAGGCCCCTGGCACAAAGCGGTTTTATGACAGGGTCAACCCAAGAGATGTCATGTAAGGCACCTGCCTTTCTCTGTTCGCCTGTGGGACACAGTGGGGCTATCATTAATAAATTCAACCATTCTAAAAATAAATGAAAACCGGTGGACATATTACAATCATTAACAAATTCACCCAGTCTGAAAATTACTGGAGATTTACGAACCATTTATATATAAAATTTAACTATTATAAAAATAACTGAAAATTAAAGACTCTTGCAGGAAACATGGAGAAAACATGGGGGTTTTGACAAAACAGGTGACAAAGCATGTATACCATATTATGTGGAGATGTGGAATAAACATTCAAAAATGTATAACATAGTAACAGTTGATTGTACAGTCAAAAGCATGTGACAGTCAGTTTAAAAGCTATCTTAAACTGCCTCTTAACACTGTTTAAACCAGTAACTGACGTCTGAGGATATAGATACAAGCAGATACCCCTGAGTACTACAGTGCATCAACGAATATTACACCCCCCCCCCCCCCCCCCCCTTCCCTGACACTTCGATGAGGTACAAGGTGGAAGAGAAGAAGAAGAAGAAAAAGAAGAAGAAGAGAAAATAGGGCCGGTTGACTACTGTAGCTGGCATGCCCTATGCAGGTTAGGGTTTAAAAGTTTTTTTTTTTTACCTCAAAAACAACTGCCCTTACCTGACCAAAGATCTCAACCTTAGTCTTTTGAATCAGAGCCTAGTTTTCTAACAGCCTGACCAACAATTTCTCATGAAATTTTGTCCATATGGAAATTCAGAGTGTATGTGATGATTCAACACATTTCAAGATGCACTTGTGTCAAAAGAAAGTACACCCAATAACACAAAAAGATGTACTAATCCCATTATAATTTAAATATCTCATTTTTTCCTACTCTTGAGATGCACTGCTCATACAGTGCCAGCCATATATCTTTTTTTTTAGACCAATCAGCACTTTATGAGCGATGTAATCTACATCATAGCAGCCAGCTACTTTGACTTCCCAAAACACTTCCTTGTGTCCACTTAAGAGTGGACAGACCTGGTCAGTTCTGAAAACTGTACGTTAAAAGATAACAAATTTGCCTGTATTACGAGAACATAGGACAACTGTTTCTGCAAAATCAAAATGTACCAACAGAATCTTCTCTGATGTGACAGACATGTGAAACAAACCCAAAATGTCATGATAAAACATAACTGTAATAAAATAAGGACATAATGAGAATATTATGAGCAAGGAAAGAACACACAGGAAGTAGGAACTAACAAATAAAAATGTTGGACTGGATTTAAAACTTTTTTTTTTTAAATTGTTCCTTCTATGACTGGACACTGAAAGACTAACAGGCAGTACCTCAAAGAGATACTATACAGATCAAAAACCATGAGGAGCAAATCCCAAAAACCTGCTTAACCTACAACAGTTACAACACCCACTGGTTACAAGCTAAGATGTAGTTTATCTGGGGGCATTTTTGGATGATCTGATTGGATGTTTAAATAGGAAGTAGTGAACAAAAGAATGTGTTCAGAAGACTTGAAGTGAATATACTTCACTATCATAACTAACAAAATAAATGTTGAATTAAGAATCAACATCACAGCACTCGGGACACTCCCATAAGCGCTACATCCTTATCTCTAACAGCCGATGGCACTATTAACTGATTGTAGATCCTTCTTACTGACAACAGGAAATGTTGGTCTTGATATTTTAGTGTTTGTAAATGAAGGAATGAACAAAAGACCATGTTTTTTTTAAAGGGGGGAGGGGGGGGTGGGGAACTGGATGTTCTAGTGTTTGCATTTCACAAGAGAAATGAACTGACACTAGAATGTTTTATGCTGGTGTTGAAGGGATGTGATCTATGAGGAAAATGCAACAAATTCAATGGGCCATCTAAACATAATTGAAGACATTGTGTGTGAATGTATATTAAACCCCCCCCCCCCCCCCCCCCCCCCCCCCCCCCCAAAAAAAAAATTAACCAAAAAAAACAATTGATCCCTATCTGGCGCGAAACAAGGTGACCCATATACACTTATATATTATAAAGCAAACAGTTTGAGAAATTCACCCGTGCACACATGTGGCGCACATGCACACCCACACATAAATAAAGCCAACAGGTTGAGATACACACAAGTATAAAGTTCACAGGCTGAGAAACAGAGATACAGAGCAACTTGGTTGAACATACAGGTGGAAACTGTTTGAGAAACAGAGATACAGAGCAACTTGGTTGAACATACAGGTGGAAACTGTTTGAGAAACAGAGATACAGAGCAACTTGGTTGAACATACAGGTGGAAACTGTTTGAGAAACAGAGATACAGAGCAACTTGGTTGAACATAAAGGTGGAAACTGTTTGAGAAACAGAGATACAGAGCAACTTGGTTGAACATAAAGGTGGAAACTGTTTGAGAAACAGAGATACAGAGCAACTTGGTTGAACATAAAGGTGGAAACTGTTTGAGAAACAGAGACATAGAGCAGACTGGTTCAACATAAAGGTGGAAACTGTTTGAGAAACAGAGACATAGAGCAGACTGGTTCAACATAAAGGTGGAAACTTGTTGAGAAACAGAGATATAGAGCAGACTGGTTCAACATAATGGTGGAAACTGTTTGAGAAACAGAGACATAGAGCAGACTGGTTCAACATACAGGTGGAAACTGTTTGAGAAACAGAGACATAGAGCAGACTGGTTCAACATACAGGTGGAAACTGTTTGAGAAACAGAGACATAGATCAGACTGAGAAACAAAGACAAGGAGAAAATCGGTCGAACAATGACACAGACATGACAAAAAAAAAAGAGCAAAGAGCAACAAAGAATGCTGAGAGAGAAAGAGAGACAGAGATAAACAGAGACAGACAGAGAGACATGCATGTACACAACCTGGGTAAACAGATTAAAATCCATATGGACATAAGAGAAAATGAAAATCATAAACAGCCACACAAAAACAAGCGGAAACCCCCACAGCAAACATACATAAACCTACACAGACATAGGACAAACAGGCTGCGATACACGCACTTAAAAAGGGGCAAAGAGGTTACACATGATTACATACAAACATACAAAATAATAAAGCAAAACTACATATTTAGTTCAATGACAGAACCAAGAAACTAGAAGGGTGAAAATGATGAGAATGACAAGTACATTGTTCCCCCACTACTGAAGATGCCCGATGATCACTGTTCCAATGCCAGTGAAGGTGCCCGGTGGTCACTGTTCCCCTACTACTGTAGATGCCTAGTGGTCATCAGTTGGCAGGATTGGTCTCTTCCAGGTGAACATGGTCCCCTTCTGACTCTTTTCCATGGACTTTTATCATGTGTTCAGCATACCTGTGTGAAAGAGAAACAAAATATGTTCAGCACACCTGTGTGAGAGAGAAACAAAATATGTTCAGCATACCTGTGTGAGAGAGAAACAAAATATGTTCATAACATTTGACAGAAACAGAACAAATTAGTGTTCATAACATGTGAAAGAAAGAAAGAACACAATAAAGTTAAACATATAGGAGGGAAAGAAAGAACACAATAAAGTTCAGCATATAGGAGGGAAAGAAAAAAACACAATAGAGTTCAGCACATAGGAGGGAAAGAAAGAACACAATAGAGTTCAGCATATAGGAGGGAAAGAAAGAACACAATAGAGTTCAGCATATAGGAGGGAAAGAAAGAACACAATAGAGTTCAGCATATAGGAGGGAAAGAAAGAACACAATAGAGTTCAGCTTATAGGAGGGAAAGAAAGAACACAATAGAGTTAAGCATATAGGAAGAAAAATAAAGAACAAAACAGTGTTTAGAATACATGAGGGAGAGAGAAACATAATGTAGTATGTGAGGGAAAGAGGAGAAAATAGTGCACAATATACAAAGGAGTAAGGGGAAAATAGTGTTAAGAAAATATATGAGCAAGAGAGAAAAACAAGACAGTGTTTAGAACACACAGACTGAGGCAACAGTCGTATTCTTCTTAGCTGTGGCGGTAGAGAGTAGATTTTTACCCCACCAGGACATCACACAAGCGATAAACACCTGATGACACAAAGTGCCACCATGTGGATGAGGATCACTGTGGAGAGGTCCTAGAAACTGGGTTCAACCATTAGATCATGTTTATGGTCGGGCTATATTGGGGCCCCTGGCAAGAGTCAGAGTGGGCCTTCAAAATAGAGAAAAATTGCATCTCACAAGGAGATGACAGAATTGAGGTGGAGAGGTGAAAACTGATGCAGTATAGAGATAGTGAATAATATGAGGAAGAGAACAACCAAATATGTTCAGAATATATGTGAGTTAGAAAAGGATGGGAGGGATACCATTCATAAATAAAAGAGAAAAGTGTTCAGAATATATGAGGGCGGGAGACAGGAAAATAGTATAGTGTATATGAGGAAGAAAGATAGGAAAAAAGTATAGTGTATATGAAGGGGGAGATCGGAAAATAGTATAGTGTATATGAAGGAGGGAGATAGGAAAATAGTATAGTGTCTATGAGGAAGAAAGATAGGAAAAAAGTATAGTGTATATGAAGGAGGGAGATAGGAAAATAATATAGTGTATATGAAGGAGGGAGATAGGAAAATAGTATAGTGTATATAAGGGAGGGAGGTAAACAACAGCTGGAGAAAGGGATACAAACTATTGTTTAAAATATACAAGGAAGCAAAAGTTAGTTCAGATTGGTGGTGGGGGGGGGGGGGGGGAAAGAAAAATAGTGTGGAGAAGAAATGAGGGGGAATATGGGATAGTTTTTAAAATATATGATGGAGAAGGGAGAGACATCAGACCGTGCCTGACGGACAGAGGAGTAAAATGGAACAAGGCCACAAAGAAAACTGCTGATAGAGAAGTCTGGGATCTCTCTGACAAACCTCTACACCTAATAGAGAAGCGACTAAGTAAGTAAGAATGGAGACAGTAAACAGAAGTTGTGTAACGTCAGTTTTCTAATGAAATTTAGCACAGCCAGTGCCCTCACTTTCTTTTGTATCTTACTGTTTCTAATCTTCTTTTCTTGATATTTTCAATGCTTTACTCAGGAATCTCATGTTAGTTGTAAATTTTCTTGTGTGTTTGTTGTTGTCACTGACCGTCTGAATTGAAAGTTAAAAATGCCCATATTCAACCCACACCTGCCTGAGAGGCGAGGAACCAACAGTCTGCACACAAATAAGCCAGATCTGTAAAATGGATAGATAGGCAAAGATTAGGCTCTGCAACAAGACCGAAGTCCAGAAGTGGATGAACAACCAGAACTTTCCCCCCAGAGTTTACAGCCACTCTGCTTCTTCTTCCTGGCATTTGCCGGTGGAAAGTTCTGGCTGTTCATCCACTTTTGGAGTCTAGTTCTGTGCCACACCCTGTGTTGTGTGCACATCTATTTTACAGATCTGACTCATTTGTATGCAGACTGTTAGTTCCTTGCCTCTCAGGCAGATGCACTCTGACTTCAATGGAAGCCTTGAATGAGTCAACTCTTACGATATACTTGTTGGGGACACAGTGGTTCTATTCTTGTTTTCCCCACACTGGGACCCAGGAACCCACACAGGAAACAGCCACTCTTAAACTGGCATAAGAAAATCTCCTGAAATGGCAACCAGAACAATCCACGTAAGTACTGACTATTCATTAAAACTGGGGATAGCACCAAATGTTGAAAACGCCTCCAGAAGCAGAAATGGACGATTTACGTGACTTACCTCTGATGCCAGTCGGCGACCATGTCGCGTTTGCATGATTCCGTGTGTGCCAGTTTGTAGAGGACCTGTATGTGTGGATAAGAATTGTACGTGGAGATTGTTGCATTTACATATGGATGACATGTACACATGGGGGATATCAAATAAAATTATATCTGTACGCGTGGACTGAATGACCATGCAGGATACAGTATCTGTACACATGAACGGAATGACCATGCAGGATACAGTATCTGTACACATGAACTGAATGACCATGCAGGATACAGTATCTGTACGCATGGACTGAATGACCATGCAGGATACAGTATCTGTACGCATAGACTGAATGACCAGGCAGGATACAGTATCTGTACGCATGGACTGAATGACCAGGCAGGATACAGTATCTGTACGCATGGACTGAATGACCCTGCAGGATACAGTATCTGTACGCATGGACTGAATGACCATGCAGGATACAGTATCTGTACGCATGGACTGAATGACCATGCAGGATACAGTATCTGTACGCATGGACTGAATGACCAGGCAGGATACAGTATCTGTACGCATGGACTGAATGACCAGGCAGGATACAGTATCTGTACGCATGGACTGAATGACCCTGCAGGATACAGTATCTGTACGCATAGACTGAATGACCATGCAGGATACAGTATCTGTACGCATGGACTGAATGACCCTGCAGGATACAGTATCTGTACGCATGGACTGAATGACCCTGCAGGATACAGTATCTGTACGCATGGACTGAATGACCATGCAGGATACAGTATCTGTACGCATGGACTGAATGACCATGCAGGATACAGTATCTGTACGCATAGACTGAATGACCCTGCAGGATACAGTATCTGTACGCATGGACTGAATGACCAGGCAGGATACAGTATCTGTACGCATGGACTCAATGACCCTGCAGGATACAGTATCTGTACGCATGGACTGAATGACCAGGCAGGATACATTATCTGTACGCATGGACTGAATGACCAGGCAGGATACAGTATCTGTACGCATGGACTCAATGACCCTGCAGGATACAGTATCTGTACGCATGGACTGAATGACCAGGCAGGATACAGTATCTGTACGCATGGACTGAATGACCAGGCAGGATACAGTATCTGTACGCATGGACTGAATGACCCTGCAGGATACAGTATCTGTATGCATGGACTGAATGACCAGGCAGGATACAGTATCTGTACGCATGGACTGAATGACCCTGCAGGATAAAGTATCTGTACGCATGGACTGAATGACCCTGCAGGATACAGTATCTGTACGCATGGACTGAATGACCTTGCAGGATACAGTATCTGTACGCATGGACTGAATGACCCTGCAGGATACAGTATCTGTACGCATGGACTGAATGACCAGGCAGGATACAGTATCTGTACGCATGGACTGAATGACCCTGCAGGATACAGTATCTGTACGCATGGACTGAATGACCATGCAGGATACAGTATCTGTACACATGGACTGAATGACCAGGCAGGATACAGTATCTGTACACATGGACTGAATGACCAGGCAGGATACAGTATCTGTACGCATGGACTGAATGACCAGGCAGGATACAGTATCTGTACGCATGGACTGAATGACCAGGCAGGATACAGTATCTGTATGCATGGACTGAATGAACCGGCAGGATACAGTATCTGTACACATGGACTAAATGACCCTGCAGGATACAGTATCTGTACACATGGACTGAATGACCAGGCAGGATACAGTATCTGTACGCATGGACTGAATGACCCTGCAGGATACAGTATCTGTACGCATGGACTGAATGACCCTGCCGGATACAGTATCTGTACACATGGACTGAATGACCAGGCAGGATACAGTATCTGTACACATGGACTAAATGACCCTGCAGGATACAGTATCTGTACGCATGGACTGAATGACCAGGCAGGATACAGTATCTGTACACATGAACTGAATGACCATGCAGGATACAGTATCTGTACGCATGGACTGAATGACCAGGCAGGATACAGTATCTGTACACATGGACTGAATGACCCGGCAGGATACAGTATCTGTACACATGGACTAAATGACCCTGCAGGATACAGTATCTGTACACATGGACTGAATGACCAGGCAGGATACAGTATCTGTACACATGGACTGAATGACCAGGCAGGATATAGTATCTGTACGCGTGGCTTACACTACACACTGGATACTGCCATTACATTACACACTGGATACTGCAATTACATTATACACTGGATACTGCCATTACATTATACACTGGATACTGCAATTACATTACACACTGGATACTGCAATTACATTACACACTGGATACTGCCATTACATTATACACTGGATACTGCAATTACATTACACACTGGATACTGCAATTATATTACACACTGGATACTGCCATTACATTACACACTGGATACTGCCATTACATTATACACTGGATACTGCCATTACATTACACACTGGATACTGCCATTACATTACACACTGGATACTGCCATTACATTACACACTGGATACGGCAATTACATTATACACTGGATACCGCTATTACATTATACACTGGATACTGCCATTACATTACACACTGGATACTGCAATTACATTATACACTGGATACCACAATTACATTATACACTGGATACCGCAATTACATTATACACTGGATACTGCAATTATATTATACACTGGATACCGCAATTACATTACACACTGGATACCGCAATTACATTATACACTGGATACTGCAATTACATTATACACTGGATACTGCAATTACATTATACATTGGATACTGCAATTACATTACACACTGGATACTGCAATTATATTATACACTGGATACTGCAATTACATTATACACTGGATACTGCAATTACATTATACACTGGATACTGCACTTACATTATACACTGGATAATGCAATTACATTATACACTGGATACCGCAATTACATTATACACTGGATACCGCAATTACATTATACACTGGATACTGCAATAACATTATACACTGGATACCGTCATTACATTATACACTGGATACTGCCATTACATTACACACCGGACACTGCCATTACAATACACACTGGATACTGTATGTGGAGTAGGCACCTGACTGATAGCATCCAGTATGGTGGATAAGCAGGCAGTCCATCTTAGCTTTAAGCTATTTCTGTTTCTAGCAATGGTTTGTTAATGCAGTTTTCCCATATGGACTGGAGTCTATAGTTTTGTTGCCTAAGCTACTGAATAAAAGTCTAGTTTAGTCGACGGATCAATATCAAGGCACACAGGTGTAAACATATAAGTACTCAGTTCTACTTCTAACTCAAGCCTTAGTCTGAAGAATTTCAGCGCAGTGCATGTACTCCATTGCACCGACGAGGATCATACTGAATTGAAGGCTTAGTGCAGCACTGTGAGCTGTGTACTTCCTGTGGAATACCTTCTATCTGTGCCCACAGCAGTTATGTCATGACAGTCATAAAAAGGTAAGTCGTTCAATCACATTTGGCTGGTGAAATACCTCATGTAATGATTGACTGTCACTGACTACTTTCTTCCATCAATGATAAATTGCAGTTCTGACGGTGACAGTTGATGTTGTCTCCAACAGCAGCCTTATGCATTTACTTGATGTCTGTGTATGTTTCTGTATTTTTCTAGGCCCGTATGTTCGCTAGTTTTCCAATGGGACAGGCAGGGACACTTCCATGTGATCTCCACTAACACAGAAACAGAGTAACCATAGAACCACCTCTTGGCAGTGAAGCTGGAAATGCTAAATATAACATCAAATGTGATTAGAAAGCTCAAGGGAGGGAATGGAAAAGATGCACACAAACACAACCAAACAATTCCACCAGAAAACTCAACAGACAAGACAACAGAGCTAAAAAAACAAAACCAAGGTCAGCATGTTGGTGCTATATTTAGTTCCCTGCTGTCCCTCAAAGTCGGAGTACATCTGCCCGTGAGGCAGGGAACGGCAAAAGCCAGTAAAACGGTTGTACACGGCAAAACTCAGGTCCTGGTAAAAGCCAAAAGTTCAAGTGGACGATTAACCGGGAAATTCCGCCGGAATTCACAGCCGGTGACTGAAGAAGAAATTCTCCGCTGATAAAGATTTCGGTCAGAAAGTTGGTGCTATATTTAGTTCCCCGCTGATAAAGACTTCGGTCAGAAAGTTGGTGCTATATTTAGTTCCCCGCTGATAAAGACTTTGGTCAGAAAATTGGTGCTATATTTAGTTCCCCGCTGATAAAGACTTCAGTCAGAAAGTTGGTGCTATATTTAGTTCCCCGCTGATAAAGACTTCGGTCAGAAAGTTGGTGCTATATTTAGTTCCCCGCTGATAAAAACTTCGGTCAGAAAGTTGGTGCTATATTTAGTTCCCCGCTGATAAAGACTTCGGTCAGAAAGTTTGGTTGTTTTGTGTGTGTTTTGTTTCGATTCCCTCTGTTGAACTTCCTAGTCACATTTTGTATTATATTTAGCATTTCTTGCAATCAGCTTGACTGCAGTCACCTGCTATTTGTGTCATCACTTTAGTGAAGTTGGAACCGTGACTTCTACTACTACTACTTCTGCTACGTCTTTCCATTGCACAAAAGGAAGGCATTTGAATCATAACCCCTGGCAATGATGAATGTGACATACAAGAGCAGCCAGCATTGAGAAGAATCTTTCACAATAAGAACACAGCATTCCTGTTGCCACCACAGCTGGTGAACCAACTCCTTGACCGTCTGCAATATACACATTTTTGTCACGTCATCATCACCATGTTATAGGTCCTCTGCAGAACGTCTGCCTGAAAAAAACTCAGTCTCTTGCCAGTTCTCCCGCCTATTATACTTTCATATTCAAGGAGTCACTTATATTCTGTGCCCATCTTCTTCCCTCATGTTTAGTATTTAAAATAATGCTAAGTTTCAATGTGTTCCCTCTGTCTTCTTTCTATTTCATTCAACAGTTGCTTCGTCTTGTTCCCAGTCCCTCCAAGCGGTCTGGACTGACTGACTAGACAAGTGTCTACTACATAAAAGATAAACTTACCAAAAACACCAGCACATGGAGAATGACCGTGTAGAAGAAAGCAAAGACTCGAGCCGTGCTGTTGCCCATTATCAGGCGACCCTGACATGGAGAAGAGAAAAACGGTTAAAAAAACAACAACAGATGTGATAAATACTTCTGGTTTACAGAATCCATCTGTAATTCAAAAACAGGTGTATAGTATAGGATAGTATAGTATAGGATAGTATAGTTGCTGCTGTTGTTTGCATTCACCAGCAGTAAACCCTGGACTGTGGCTTCATTCCAGGACCTGAGTTTTGCATGTGCATCCATCGTACAGATCTTGCTTCCTTGTATGCAGACTGTTGGTTTCTTACCTCTCAGGCAGATTCACTCAGACTCAAGGAAGCCTCCATTAAGTTGACTCTTATGACATGCATGTTGGGGAGGCAGTGGGTCTATTCTTGTTTTCCCCACAATGGGGCCCCAGAACCCATACGGGGATATGGTATAGTATTGAAAGTAAATTTAGGCATAAGGGCCCTTTTCATGCCTCTGGCACATCACGCACGTAGTGCTGGACCTCTATTACTCTAGACCAATGAGATCTCAATGGGTTCATCTGGGTAGAGATTCAACATTAGAGCGATAAGGACCAGCGCATATTAGCTGTGCTTTCCTTCTCTTACAGCAACAAGGACCAGCGCATGTTAGCTTTGCTTTCCTTCTCTTACAGCAACAAGGACCAGCGCATATTAGCTGTGCTTTCCTTCTCTTACAGCAACAAGGACCAGCGCATGTTAGCTTTGCTTTCCTTCTCTTACAGCAACAAGGACCAGTGCATATTAGCTCTGCTTTCCTTCTCTTACAGCAACAAGGACCAGCGCATATTAGCTCTGCTTTCCTTCTCTTACAGCAACAAGGACCAGCGCATATTAGCTCTGCTTTCCTTCTCTTACAGCAACAAGGACCAGTGCATATTAGCTCTGCTTTCCTTCTCTTACAGCAACAAGGACCAGCGCATATTAGCTCTGCTTTCCTTCTCTTACAGCAACAAGGACCAGTGCATATTAGCTCTGCTTTCCTTCTCTTACAGCAACAAGGACCAGTGCATATTAGCTCTGCTTTCCTTCTCTTACAGCAACAAGGACCAGCGCATATTAGCTGTGCTTTCCTTCTCTTACAGCAACAAGGACCAGCGCATATTAGCTCTGCTTTCCTTCTCTTACAGCAACAAGGACCAGCGCATATTAGCTCTGCTTTCCTTCTCTTACAGCAACAAGGACCAGCGCATATTAGCTCTGCTTTCCTTCTCTTACAGCAACAAGGACCAGTGCATATTAGCTCTGCTTTCCTTCTCTTACAGCAACAAGGACCAGTGCATATTAGCTCTGCTTTCCTTCTCTTACAGCAACAAGGACCAGTGCATATTAGCTCTGCTTTCCTTCTCTTACAGCAACAAGGACCAGTGCATATTAGCTCTGCTTTCCTTCTCTTACAGCAACAAGGACCAGTGCCTATTAGCTCTGCTTTCCTTCTCTTACAGCAACAAGGACCAGCACATATTAGCTCTGCTTTCCTTCTCTTACAGCAACAAGGACCAGTGCATATTAGCTCTGCTTTCCTTCTCTTACAGCAACAAGGACCAGTGCATATTAGCTCTGCTTTCCTTCTCTTACAGCAACAAGGACCAGCGCATATTAGCTCTGCTTTCCTTCTCTTACAGCAACAAGGACCAGTGCATATTAGCTCTGCTTTCCTTCTCTTACAGCAACAAGGACCAGCACATATTAGCTGTGCTTTCCTTCTCAACAGCCAGTAAAGAGTTTCTATACTGATTATGCTCATTGCCATCTGGTTAACTACTTGTCTTACCTTAGCCCCGGGTCTCTGGTGATGCCAGGAGCCTGCAGACACCTCCTGCTGCCTTACTTTCTACAGCTATGAGTTTTCAGTTTCTTCCAATGTAATTCCAGCCATCCTGTCTACCTGCTCATTCCAAAACACTCCTACATGGCCTGAGCTAAATGTCTATGTGACTTTCCCCACCTCTGAACTCTGGACTGATGTGACCCATTATATATGAAGAAAACTGCTGTGATGATAGTCCTAAGCAGTCACTACCAGGGTGTCCCATAAGTTTCCATACATAGGAGAAATAAATTTTTTTTAATGGCATTCTTTTCAATGTATGTAATATTCTCTACTGACCACCATTTTGTATCTGCTACCTCTTCGGGTGTCCAGGGAGATTAAAGGTTCTGCTTCGTGCACTTCTGGCCGCCTCGACCATAGACACATCGTGGTGTTGTAGAGTTTCTCTCATGTTATCTTTCTATTTTGTTCTTGGTCTAACTTGTGCTCTACGTCCTTCTTCTTATTTGGTGGAATGCTTCTATTATATGACATCAGAAGGCATTCTCTCTAAGTGGGCAACCATTTGATTTGCTGTCTTTGTATATAATTTAGAACTGGTTCTGTGCTGACTTTTTCTCTGATGACCTCATTGCTGATTTTATCTCTTCTGGTCACTAATGCAGCCCCTTCTCAGACATCTGATTTCGTTGGTTACTAATTTTTTTCCTAGTTTGTTGTGAGTGACCATGTCTGGCACTGGTAGAATAGAGCAGGAATGAATATACTATGTATGAGATGTTTCTTTGTGCTGATTGGGGCTAGCTGTACCAATACTTGGTTTTTTTACTGCATCAGATGTTAATTTTTTTCATCTAATTTACAATCTACAATCTCAAATACACGGAAATAAAGTATACTATGCTCTTCAACATCTGCTAAAGTCAAAGTCTTTATCTCACAACACTAAGATGAAAATATATAAAACGTTGATAAGACCAGTCGTTTTATATGGCTCTGAAACTTGAAGCACAACTAAAAGATTTATTACCATTAAAAAAAAAGTCTTAAAAGTAATCTTCAGACCCATCAAAGATGGGGAATGAATTGTGAGAAACAACAATGAAATTCATTGTCTGTTTAGATCACCACTGATCACTGGAATCATGAGAGCTAATAGACTGAAATGGCTGGGGCATATTGAAAGAATGTCAGATGACAGAAAAGTAAAAACTGTATACACCAGGGAGATGAATGGTCGTAGACCATGAGGCAGAGCATGAAGACGATGGAGAGATAATATCCAGCCTGACCTGCAAATACTTGGTGTCACCAACTGGAAAGAGAAGGCTAACCAGAGAGATGAATGGAGGCGGGTGATATCTGCAGCAATGAACCTCGAGGGCTCAGAATGCTGAAGAAGAAAGCCAACCAGAGAGATGAATGGAGGCGGGTGATATCTGCAGCAATGAACCTTGAGGGCTAAGAATGCTGAAGAAGAAAGCCAACCAGAGAGATGAATGGAGGCGGGTGATATCTGCAGCAATGAACCTTGAGGGCTCAGAATGCTGAAGAAGAAAGCCAACCAGAGAGATGAATAGAGGGGGGTGATATCTGCAGCAATGAACCTCGAGGGCTCAGAATGCTGAAGAAGAAAGCCAACCAGAGAGATGAATAGAGGGGGGTGATATCTGCAGCAATGAACCTTGAGGGCTTGGAATGCTGAAGAAGAATAATTTCCCATCTCCACTGAATACTGTTCCCAAAAATTAAAACCCAGTTGCCTGTTCAATGGCTTGTACTATACTGCTTTATTTGGGTTCTGTTTGTTTCTTCCTATTGCCATTACTTCAGCAGGTCGAGTAAATATAATATGTGATCAATAATACCCACCATGCTGAGGGTAATCTTGTCATACGGCTTCAGTTCCAGGTACCTTCTCTGCCTCTCCTGTGGATGGAGATATGAAAATCTTAGCATTGGTGAATTTCACAGATACTGTTGAAAGCAACAGATAATGAAAAATAGAAACATGATCACACACATTTCACCTGGGTGTAACCAGAGGGTCTGGCCGGTTCACTACACTCAGAGGAAAGGCAAGACAGACATATAACCAGATTGTGACCGGTACCATCAGTATTGGAACTCTGAGCTGGCTGCTGAAGATGAGGACAGAGGAACTGGCAACTAGATGACAGTGTTGAGGTAACAATTACATGGGACATCATCATCATCTCATGTTAATCCACTGGTACCTTGCACTGTTAAGGTCACTGCATGGTTCGTTGCTGTCTAGATCAGCAGGCTTGCTGGGCCAGTCACAGGTTAAGAACAGAAAGAAAAAAACTGATATTGGTGAGCCCATCCATGTAGGCGAGCTGCAGACCCATTGGTCCATGACCTCCCAGCCATGGCTTTGCGATCTACACCGCTTGGAGGTATGGCAGACCTGTGTGGTCTACGACGTATCAACAAGCTACTGATTTTCACTTTTGGCCTATCCAGAGAAAGACTAGCAGATCCCATGATGACCTACCTGTGCCTCCACACTGTTCACTCGCTCCCAAAGAGCCCTCACAACATCCAGCTTGTCAACATCAATTGACCACCAAGTGGTGCAGAACCGGCCAGTCTATCAGCCTGCTGTTTCCCCACACACTGGCACACCCAGATAAAATATCAAAGCCTGCTGTTTCCCCACACACTGGCACACCCAGATAAAATATCAAAAGGATACTTACTACTCTGGAGCTTTGAAGTGATGTTTGCCACTCTTCAGGAAGCATACCCGTCTTCACTTTTCTCAAAAAGCTTTAAGTCAGTTACAGTTGTGACATCTGTGTACAGCCTCTAAGTCAGTTACAGTTGTGACATGTGTGTACAGCCTCTAAGTCAGTTACAGTTGTGACATGTGTGTACAGCCTCTAAGTCAGTTACAGTTATGACATGTGTGTACAGCCTCTAAGTCAGTTACAGTTGTGACATCTGTGTACAGCCTCTAGGTCAGTTACAGTTGTGACATGTGTGTACAGCTGGTTTTCAAGCTAGTGGAAGACTGCAGTGACTGCCTCCACCTCTATTCTCAAACTAGATGTTGTGGTATCATATGCCAGACTTTGCTGCACCAAGTGACTTCCATTCACTTTTGCTTTGAACCTCTATGCCCCCGGGCATAAAGTTCATAAGGTAGAAACGTTGGCAGGGGACCAAATGTGTTTCTGGCACACTGAGAGGAGAGCAATGTACAACAAAGGATGTGCAATGTGGTCATAAACACATTTTGTGTGACCCTGTGTAATGAAACTGTAACCAACATTACCTTTCGGCTAAAAGATGTAAATGGGTCGAGTCTCTCCTCGTACTGAGATGAGTAGTTGGTGGTGACATCATCTACTGCGGCACCCTGTCAAAGAGTTAAAACAAATCAATGCATTGGGTATGGGGACATTATCATACACACCATTCAAAGCTGGAACTAAGGGTTATTTTTTTAATCTCTTGAAATTATCAGAAAATAACTCAACAAATATTTATTGTGTGCTGAGGTTATCAAAAGTAATCTGCAAAATCAATACTTCTATTAAGTTGAGATTTGTGCTCTACACTTTGTCCCCCCAGTGGAGCATAAGTTTTCTATTAATCCATGCCAAGTTCATTGTTCTGTTTTTGCCTCTCGTATATACATACAACTCATATTAAATTGGTTTTTCAATGAAAACAAATGACAAAATAAGTGGAAAGATCAATAAAAATAACAACAAATTACAAATCTTTCTAATGTAATCATGAAAACAAGAAATGAAATAACCAAAGAACAGTTTAAAAAAAAAAAAGATGAAAGGAGACTACTCAAAATGGAGTTAGAAATATTCAATACAAACATAAAAACGGATAGGACGTGAAGTAGTGAGCTGGCTAGATGCTCTTCTGCTAGCTCAAAGGCCTAGGTTCAAATCCACAACACACTGACCTTGGCTGCCAGGTCGACTCAACCTAAAATGGTTAACAGGTAATATCCTAGGAATTACAGGCAGCTGGCGTGATGGCGACTATATCACCCGTGAAGTGCCCATTTGTTGATACAATAATAGGTCTAGCACTTAATGTGTGAAATAAAACACACAGAGACAGACACACAGACAGACACACAGACAGACAGAGAGAGAGAGAGATCTAATAATGGAGTTAAACCGATGTCAGCTTTAAAAAAAAAGATGTACAATACAGATATTAAAATAAATATAGTAAACAAGTAAAGCCAATTTTCTGAACAATAAAAAAAAATCTTTGAATGCATACCTGTCCAATTTCCTTAGACATAAATTTAGATAACACTTCAGATAGTAATTATTGTTACTGCTGTTAATCTCACCCCCCCCCTTTCAAATCACACAACCCTTTCCCAGGATTGCATTATGATCTGGATGAAAATCCAATAAGAGCAAATCGCAGACACCTGGTTCAACAGTACAACACGGTTATATTAGGACACCCAGCAGTTATCAAGTAGCCTGCACTCCACTGTGGGTACAGGTGTACAGCTAAATAATGAGTCATGTATCACTAAATAATGAGACATGTATCACTAAATAATGAGACATGTACCACTAAATAATGAGGCATGTATCACTAAATAATGAGGCATGTATCACTAAATAATGAGACATGTATCACTAAATAATGAGACATGTACCACTATACAATGAGGCATGTACCACTAAACAGAACGAGACATATACAGCTAAAGAACGAGATGTGTACCACCAAACAACAAGACATGTACCACTAAACAATGAGACGTGTACCATTAAACAATCCGACATGTATAGCTAAACAACAAGACATGAACAGCTAAACAACAAGATATAAATATGAAAAAAAAAAATAGGATAAAACATTAAAATTATACAAAGAGACGGAACATGACAAATATAAAGATATCAAATATAAAAGATGAAAAAGTTTGCTTAAAGATTACAGATGTGCACTGCCAAATAGAAAGCATATGGACCAGTTGTAGATAGATATATAACACAATATTCAGACTAGTGTGATGACTAATGTGATGACTAATGTGATGACTAATGTGATGACTAATGTGATGACTTGTGTGATGACTAATGTGATGACTAATGTGATGACTAAGACAATACTCCCCACATGGGTTCCAGGGCCCCATTGTAGGGAAAACAAGAATAGACAAACTGCCTATACAAAAACATGTTGTAAGAGTCGACTAATTGGGGGTTTTCTTCAAAGTCTGAGTGCCTTGCCTTTGAGGCAAGGAACCAACAGTCTGCATACAAATGAGCCAGTTCTGTATAATGATGTGCACGCAACACTCAGGTTCTTGAACAGGACCACAGTCCAGAAATGGATGAACAACCAGAACTTTCCGCCAGAATTTACAGCTGGTGAATGTGAAAAAGAAGGAGAAGACAATACACACAGAGTGTCGTGGCTATAAGATCACTATGTACCCAGTATACCTGAAGACATTAAAAATACCCTTCCTGTTTAATTTACCAGACCCAGTGTGTCCGATAGTTTGAAAAAGGTACTTAACTTCTGACCTTCACCTTGCAACCTGTAGTTTGTAGATTTGGTTTATAACTCATTCTTTGGTTCATGACTGCACGTGTTTAGGAGATCCCCTGGGGTAGTTGCTGGAGCTATACAGATTTATGCTCTGTGTGCCACCCCTCTAGCACAACTAATGACAGCAAAATCATAACAACAGACCAACAGAGATGAGAAGTCTCAGAAGAGTGGCCAGAGTAATGAGAAGAGTGGCCAGAGTAACCAGAAGAGTGGCCAGAGTAATGAGAAGAGTGGCCAGAGTAACCAGAAGAGTGGCCAGAGTAATGAGAAGAGTGGCCAGAGTAACCAGAAGAGTGGCCAGAGTAACCAGAAGAGTGGCCAGAGTAACCAGAAGAGTGGCCAGAGTAACCAGAAGAGTGGCCAGAGTAACCAGAAGAGTCGCCAGAGTAACCAGAAGAGTGGCCAGAGTAACCGGAAGAGTGGCCAGAGTAACCTGAAGAGTGGCCAGAGTAACCAGAAGAGTGGCCAGAGTAACCAGAAGAGTGGCCAGAGTAACCAGAAGAGTGGCCAGAGTAATCAGAAGAGTGGCCAGAGTAACCAGAAGAGTCGCCAGAGTAACCAGAAGAGTGGCCAGAGTAACCAGAAAAGTGGCCAGAGTAACCAGAAGAGTGGCCAGAGTAACCAGAAGAGTGGCCAGAGTAACAAGAAGAGTGGCTAGAGTAACCAGAAGAGTAGCCAGAGTAATGAGAAGAGTGGACAGAGTAACCAGAAGAGTGGCCAGAGTAACCAGAAGAGTGGCCAGAGTAACCAGAAGAGTGGCTAGAGTAACCAGAAGAGTGGCCAGAGTAACCAGAAGAGTGGCCAGAGTAACTAGAAGAGTGGCCAGAGTAATGAGAAGAGTGGCCAGAGTAACCCGGAAGAGTGGACAGAGTAACTAGAAGAGTGGCCAGAGTAACTAGAAGAGTGGCCAGAGTAACCAGAAGAGTGTCCAGAGTAATGAGAAGAGTGGCCAGAGTAGCCAGAAGAGTGGCCAGAGTAACCAGAAGAGTGGCCAGAGTAATGAGAAGAGTGGCCAGAGTAACCAGAAGAGTGGCCAGAGTAATGAGAAGAGTGGCCAGAGTAACCAGAAGAGTGGCCAGAGTAACCAGAAGAGATACAATTAAAATGAAGAAATCAGAAACCTGGGACTGAAGCAATAATTTATGGGTCTCTGGATACTTTCCAATCCAAAAACGAACAACTGTCAGAGACCTTTCTCGGTCACCACAGACAGAACTGTCAGAGACCTTTCTCGGTCACCACAGACAGAACTGTCAGAGACCTTTCTCGGTCACCACAGACAGAACTGTCAGAGACCTTTCTCGGTCACCACAGACACAACTGTCAGAGACCTTTCTCGGTCACCACAGACAGAACTGTCAGAGACCTTTCTCGGTCACCACAGACACAACTGTCAGAGACCTTTCTCGGTCACCACAGACACAACTGTCAGAGACCTTTCTCGGTCACCACAGACAGAACTGTCAGAGACCTTTCTCGGTCACCACAGACAGAACTGTCAGAAACCTTTCTCGGTCACCACAGACAGAACTGTCAGAGACCTTTCTCGGTCACCACAGACAGAACTGTCAGAGACCTTTCTCGGTCACCACAGACAGAACTGTCAGAGACCTTTCTCGGTCACCACAGACAGAACTATCAGAGACCTTTCTCGGTCACCACAGACAGAACTGTCAGAGACCTTTCTCGGTCACCACAGACAGAACTGTCAGAGACCTTTCTCGGTCACCACAGACACAACTGTCAGAGACCTTTCTCGGTCACCACAGACACAACTGTCAGAGACCTTTCTCGGTCACCACAGACACAACTGTCAGAGACCTTTCTCGGTCACCACAGACAGAACTGTCAGAGACCTTTCTCGGTCACCACAGACAGAACTGTCAGAGACCTTTCTCGGTCACCACAGACAGAACTGTCAGAGACCTTTCTCGGTCACCACAGACACAATTGTCAGAGACCTTTCTCGGTCACCACAGACAGAACTGTCAGAGACCTTTCTCGGTCACCACAGACAGAACTGTCAGAGACCTTTCTCGGTCACCACAGACAGAACTGTCAGAGACCTTTCTCGGTCACCACAGACAGAACTGTCTTCAACAGAGTATCAAACAGAGACATTGGAACAAACACATTGCAGACATCATCAACTTGGTCGACATTGACTTTATTAGCTACACATATCCAACACATAAAAACAAAAATCTAACCTGTCAGTCCCTACAAACCAAAGAGTCACTATCCATTCATTCCTCACTCATACATTCCTCTTCCATATTTAACAGTAATGTCTCAAAAGTCCATTCATGCGCAAACACATATCTTTCAAACAATGCTATACAAACAGTCCTACACTAATAACTGGGTCCATGTCAACAACCATTTGATTGTTCCCTACAAAACATTGTGCAGTCAGTCCCTGGTGAACTAGTACATCTAAGAGTTACAGAAATTATTATTACTGCCTCACTGAAGGGACTCACTGTGGCAGAGTGGCTAGACACTTGCCGGCAGATCGAAAGGTCATCGTGGGTTCGCTCCCTGAGGGAGCCGGGCATTTGTCAAAAATGACCTTGACTCCCAGGTCAACCCATCAGTGAGTGGGTACCGGGTGCAGTCCCGGGAGGTAAAGGCGGCTGGCGTGATGCTGACTACATCACCCACCTTGTGCCTACAGGTCTATAAAATACAGGTCTAGCCCTATATGCCCTATTTGTCTAAAGGTGTGGAAAAGGGTCCTTTACTTTACTTACTGACTCCCTGAGACATTCAGGTAGGCCCTTCTGGGACTGATACAGATCAAGAGCAACAAATGAGATGGTTTGGCCATCTGCCGAGAATGCCCTGGCACCAACTGCCACAGAAAGCCATGCTGAAGAAATATAATAAACACAGAGCAAGGGATGACTGTGCAAAATGTGGAATGATAGCATTGGGAACAGCCTTAAAGAAATGAAGATCAACTTATTGAATGCATTAGACAGAGAACACAGACGATCCTTACATCCTTCCACCCTTTCAACACTTTGATGTGGTAACTGGAGAAGGTGGAGGGGGAGATTAGCCACTTCTCAGTGGGCACCCAGTGGCTCTGTACACACGAGATAAACCAAACCACACCAGATCAACCCTGATGCAAAGAAGTCACTTTCAAAGCAAAGACCCTTACTAAACAATGCACTACTGACCTTGTTGGGGTAGCTCTGCAGGAAGCGGATCTTCTCGTACAACTTGACATTGTCTGACCTCAGCTTGTCCATCTCGTTCTGCAGCACCGTCACCTGCTGCTGCTGGCTCAGAGTTTGCTGGGGAGGGGCACAAATCATGGCATAATTCAAGACAACAGGTAGACAGCGTTATGTCTGAGACAGGATTCAAGACAACAGGCAGACAATGTTATGTCTGAGACAGGATTCAAGACAACAGGCAGACAATGTTATGTCTGAGACAGGATTCAAGACAACAGACAGACAATGTTATGTCTGAGACAGGATTCAAGACAACAGGGAGACAATATTATGTCTGATGATTAACTTTATATCTACACAACAGACAACATTATGTTTGAGACAGACCACCATTAACTTTATATACTCACAATAGACAACATTATGTTTGAGACAGACCCTGATTACCTTTAAATCTACACACAACAGACAACATTATGTTTGAGATGGACCCCCATTACCTGTATATCTTTACAACAGACAACGTTTACCTTTATATCTATACAACAGACAACATTTACCTTTGTATCTATACAACAGACAACATTTACCTTTATATCTATACAACAAACAACATTTACCTTTATATCTATACAACAGACAACATTTACTTTTACATCTATACAACAGCTAATGTCTGAGAGAGACAAATATGACATCACTAAATGCTTTCAGACAACAATAGCTAATGTCTGAGAGAGACAAGAATGACATCACTAAACTCTTTCAGACAACAATAGCTTATGTCTGAGAGAGACAAGAATGACATCACTAAACGCTTTCAGACAACAATAGCTAATGTCTGAGAGAGAGACGAGAATAACATCACTAAACTCTTTCAGACAACAATAGCTAATGTCTGAGAGAGAGACAAGAATGAAATCACTAAACTCTTTCAGACAACAATAGCTAATGTCTGAGAGAGACAAGAATGACATCACTAAACTCTTTCAGACAACAATAGCTAATGTCTGAGAGAGACAAAAATGACATCACTAAACTCTTTCAGACAACAAAAGCTAATGTCTGAGATAGAGAGTAGAATGACATCACTAAACGCTTTCAGGCAGCACAAGGTAATGTCTACGAGAGACAAGAATGACATCACTAAACTCTTTCAGACAACAATAGCTAATGTCTGAGAGAGACAAAAATGACATCACTAAACTCTTTCAGACAACAAAAGCTAATGTCTGAGATAGAGAGTAGAATGACATCACTAAACGCTTTCAGGCAGCACAAGGTAATATCTAAGAGAGACAAAAATGACATCACTAAACTCTTTCAGTAAGAACTAGCTAATGTCTGAAAGAGACAAGAATGACATCACTAAACTCTTTCAGGCAGCACTAGCCAAAGTCTAAGAGAGACAAGAATGACACCATTAAACTCTTTCAGACAACACTAGCTAAAGTCTAAGAGAGACAAGAATGACATCACTAAACTCTTTCAGGCAGCACTAGCCAATGTCTAGGAGAGACCAGGATAACATCATTAAACTCTTTCAGACAGCACTAGCTTATATCTAAGAGAGACAAGAATGACATCAATAAACTCTTTCAGGCAGCACTAGCTTATATCTAAGAGAGACAAGAATGACACCATTAAACTCTTTCAGACAACACTAGCTAAAGTCTAAGAGAGACAAGAATGACATCACTAAACTCTTTCAGGCAGCACTAGCCAATGTCTAGGAGAGACCAGGATAACATCATTAAACTCTTTCAGACAGCACTAGCCAATGTCTAAGAGAGACGAGAATAACATCAGTAAACTCTTTCAGGCAGCACTAGCTTATATCTAAGAGAGACGAGAATGACATCACTAAACTCTTTCAGACAACACTAGCCAATGTCTAAGAGAGACAAGAATGACATAACTAAACTCTTTCAGGCAGCACTAGCTTATATTTAAGAGAGACAAGAATGACATCACTAAACTCTTTCAGGCAGCACTAGCCAATGTCTGAGAGAGACAAGAATGACATCACTAAACACTTTCAGGCAGCACCAGCAAATGTCTGAGGAAGACAAGAATGACATCACTTAACTCTTTCAGACAGCACTAGCTAATGTCTAAGAGAGACGAGAATAACATCAGTAAACTCTTTCAGGCAGCACTAGCTTATATCTAAGAGAGACGAGAATGACATCACTAAACTCTTTCAGACAACACTAGCCAATGTCTAAGAGAGACAAGAATGACATAACTAAACTCTTTCAGGCAGCACTAGCTTATATTTAAGAGAGACAAGAATGACATCACTAAACTCTTTCAGGCAGCACTAGCTTAAATCTAAGAGAGACAAGAATGACATCACTAAACTCTTTCAGGCAGCACTAGCTTAAATCTAAGAGAGACAAGAATGACATCACTAAACTCTTTCAGACAGCACTAGCTAATGTCTGAGAGAGACAAGAATGACATCACTAAACACTTTCAGGCAGCACCAGCAAATGTCTGAGGAAGACAAGAATGACATCACTAAACTCTTTCAGACAACAATAGCTAATGTCTGAGAGAGACAAGAATGACATCACTAAACTCTTTCAGGCAGCACTAGCTAATGTCTGAGAGAGACAAGAATGACTTCTCTAAACTCTTCCAGACAACAATAGCTAATGTCTGAGAGAGAGACGAGAATAACATCACTAAACTCTTTCAGACAACAATAGTTAATGTCTGAGAGAGACAAGAATGACATCACTAAACTCTTTCAGACAACAATAGCTAATGTCTGAGAGAGACAAGAATGACATCACTAAACTCTTTCAGGCAGCACTAGCTAAAGTCGAAGAGAGACCAGGATAACATCATTAAACTCTTTCAGGCAGCACTAGCCAATGTCTGAGAGAGACAAGAATGACATCACTAAACACTTTCAGGCAGCACCAGCAAATGTCTGAGGAAGACAAGAATGACATCACTAAACTCTTTCAGACAACAATAGCTAATGTCTGAGAGAGAGACGAGAATAACATCACTAAACTCTTTCAGACAACAATAGTTAATGTCTGAGAGAGACAAGAATGACATCACTAAACTCTTTCAGACAACAATAGCTAATGTCTAAGAGAGACAAGAATAACATCTCTAAACTCTTCCAGACAACAATAGCTAATGTCTGAGAGAGACAAGAATGACATCACTAAACTCTTTCAGGCAGCACTAGCTAAAGTCGAAGAGAGACCAGGATAACATCAGTAAACTCTTTCAGGCAGCACTAGCCAATGTCTGAGAGAGACAAGAATGACATCACTAAACTCTTTCAGGCAGCACTAGCTAATGTCTGAGAGAGACAAGAATGACTTCTCTAAACTCTTCCAGACAACAATAGCTAAAGTCTAAGAGAGAGACGAGAATAACATCACTAAACTCTTTCAGACAACAATAGTTAATGTCTGAGAGAGACAAGAATGACATCACTAAACTCTTTCAGGCAACAATAGCTAATGTCTGAGAGAGACAAGAATGACATCACTAAACTCTTTCAGGCAGCACTAGCTAAAGTCGAAGAGAGACCAGGATAACATCATTAAACTCTTTCAGGCAGCACTAGCCAATGTCTGAGAGAGACAAGAATGACATCACTTAACTCTTTCAGGCAGCACTAGCTTATATCTAAGAGAGACAAGAATGACATCAGTAAACTCTTTCAGACAGCACTAGCTTATATCTAAGAGAGACAAGAATGACATCACTAAACTCTTTCAGGCAGCACTAGCTTATATCTAAGAGAGACAAGAATGACATCACTAAACTCTTTCAGGCAGCACTAACTAAAGTCTAAGAGAGACCAGGATAACATCATTAAACTCTTTCAGGCAGCACTAGCCAATGTCTGTGAGAGACAAGAATGACATCACTAAACTCTTTCAGGCAGCACTAGCCAATGTCTGAGAGAGACAAGAATGACATCACTAAACTCTTTCAGGCAGCACTAGCTAATGTCTGAGAGAGAGACAAATATGACTTCACTAAACTCTTTCAGGCAGCACAAGGTAATGTCTAGGAGAGACAAGAATGACATCACTAAACTCTTTCAGACAGCACTAGCTAATGTCTGAGAGAGACAAGAATGACATCACTAAACTCTTTCAGGCAGCACTAGCTTATATCTAAGAGAGACAAGAATGACATCACTAAACTCTTTCAGGCAGCACTAGCTTATATCTAAGAGAGACAAGAATGACATCACTAAACTCTTTCAGGCAGCACTAGCTTATATCTAAGAGAGACAAGAATGACATCACTAAACTCTTTCAGACAGCACTAGCTTATATCTAAGAGAGACAAGAATGACATCACTAAACTCTTTCAGGCAGCACTTGCCAATGTCTAAGAGAGACAAGAATAACATCAGTAAACTCTTTCAGGCAGCACTAGCTAATGTCTAAGAGAGACGAGAATGACATCACTAAACTCTTTCAGACAGCACTAGCTTATATCTAAGAGAGACAAGAATGACATCACTAAACTCTTTCAGACAGCACTAGCTTATATCTAAGAGAGACAAGAATGACATCACTAAACTCTTTCAGGCAGCACTAGCTTATATCTAAGAGAGACAAGAATGACATCACTAAACTCTTTCAGACAGCACTAGCTTATATCTAAGAGAGACAAGAATGACATCACTAAACTCTTTCAGGCAGCACTTGCCAATGTCTAAGAGAGACAAGAATAACATCAGTAAACTCTTTCAGGCAGCACTAGCTAATGTCTAAGAGAGACGAGAATGACATCACTAAACCACCATTAACTTTATATACTCACAATAGACAACATTATGTCTGAGACAGACCCTAATTACCTTTATATCTACACACAACAGACAACATTATGTTTAAGATGGACCCCCATTACCTGTATATCTTTACAACAGACAACATTTACCTTTATATCTATACAACAGACAACATTTACCTTTATATCTATACAACAGACAACATTTACCTTTGTATCTATACAACAGACAACATTTACCTTTATATCTATACAACAGACAACATTTACCTGTATATCTATACAACAGCTAATGTCTGAGAGAGACAAGAATGACATCACTAAACGCTTTC